TTCAATTCCCACTTATGACAAATATTTGTGTGATGAGCACGGTCATTGGTTTTGTGTCTGGGTGTTATTTAACTATAATAAATAGATATGCATAATATAAACTAGCTTTATAATTGTCGGTTTTCGCGGTAAAAAGTAGCCTTTGTCCTTCTTCAAGAATCAAACTATCTCCATGACAAATTTCATCTAAATCGGTTCAGCGCTTTAAGCGTAAAGAGGTAACAAACAGACAGACACACTTTCGCATTTATAATATTAATATAAAAGTATGTTTGTTTAGAAATATCAGTGCCCACAGTTTAGAAGTATCAGTTGAGTCACCCTATTACGTGAGTGAGACTAGAAATTGTTGTTCTGAGTCTAGGTGTTCTTTGTGCCCGTTGCATGTATGTTTGTAAAGTCCCCCGCGACACAGGATATATCCCTAATGCGGTCTTTGTCTTTTAAAAAAAAATTTGGTTTCCACAATAAGTTCCCTGTTTACCCCTTTTGGGATACAAGGCGTGTGTTTATAAAAAAGGATCTTATCTTATTGTTATCGTCATAATTTCAACTATCGTAGAATTTTAAAATAAAAAAAAAAACCACGAACTTTTAAAACAGTTTTTTCTTACTAACAATCTACCAAAACAAAATATGTAAGTACATAATTTATTTAAAACAAAACTGAGTATCCCTATAATACTCCGTTCATTCCCGATAAATGCGAGTACTTCTAAATGCGAAGTCAGGGGTGAGTTATATAACAAATCAGATGATTCTGTTACTGTCTGAATATAAGTAGGCCGAGCATGTAGGCATGGCAACCATAGACTAAATATTCTTAACAATCTGTTGAACGTCGATTCGCGCGCTGTCACGCCCTTTTTTTAAATTATATAAATGGGACATAATTTAATATTAAATGATAAGCGTTTATATATAATCACGCTTATATCTCTGAAAGGGTATACAGAGATGTGTTAAACCGCATTTCGCATAGTAGAAGAATTTTAGTTTCTCTTACATTAAAAGGGATAATAGTATTGCCGTCTAGCGGGTTTATAACGGGCTTAAATTCGATTTTTTACGCGGAGCGCCTGCCATCAGACTTTGACAACCTAAGTAGGTACTAGGCAATATTGAAGTTCTGTCAAAAGACTGTTTAAATTGGGACTAATCCCACCCACACGCCCACCATTGTAACTCCTGTACACCAGGATCCACAGCAGTGACCCACGAACACACCGAGTTATGACACTCGGGAAGTCCCAGGAAGAAATTAAACTGTCTTGGAACCCGCAACGAAATTAATCAGAAGAAAATTGGAGGAGTTGGAAATACAGTAAATCCACTTCCCTCCTTAGCAAAGCGGGAGACAAAATGAAGCAAAATAGGCATACACCCTTTTAAACAGGAAGGAACCACGGCCACAAAATATTACGGGTCCTACGTGAGCCAAAAGACTGTTGTCGGCCGTTTTAGGGTTCCAACTACCCGTAACGATTGCCACAGACGTTCTTATCACAACTGGGAACGACAGCTTAACGTGTTCTCCGAAGCCGTCAACCGGATACTTTAGCGAGTAGAAGGCGAATGATCTATTGGTCAGCGACTCTGACTGCTAAGCCAAAGGTTGTGGGTTCGATTCCCCCCCAGGACAAATAAGTGTGTGATGAGCACGATCATTTGTTCTGTATGTGGGTGTAATTTATCCATATCATGTACATGTATAAAGTAATATATAAGTATGTTTATCAGCAGTCTGGTCACCATAGTACAGGCTCTGCCTAGTTTGGGATCAGGAAGCCGTGTGTGAGATGTGTTATTATTAAAAAAGTCTCGGAGGAAGAGAAAGTAGTCTATTTTTGTCCCTGATCCTATCAAATTTTTTTATTTCTTTCTTTTCTTCCTCGTGGTCAAGGAAACTTTTTGATTTTTAAATGGTGAGCTGGCCATTAAAAACAAGGAAACGGATTGTATGTTTGAACGTTTAAAATGGCATAACTTTTGTTAATTTTCATCGAGTGAATGAGATTACAAGATTCCAAAATCCCCTCTCCCTCTGATTATGGGTATGATTATATGATTATTATACATATATACTACTATATTATTATACTATTACTCGTATACATATATAAAAATAAACTTCTTGCTGTGTGTTTTATAAAACACTAATTTTGACCGGGGTTCCATCGCAGTAAAAATAAGCTTAGGTATGTTACTCATTGATAATGTAGCTTTCCATTACTGAAATATTTTTTTAAATCGGTTTAGTGGTTTAGGCGTAAAAGCTTAACAAATAAACAAACTCACTTTCACATTAATAATATAAAAGTATGGATTATGCCGAGGAAAAACAGTATCATTAATCTTAATCTATAAAAAGTCAACGTGGACGAAAATACGGACAAAACCTAGTTTATATATAGATTTTTGTTTTTACAAACTAGTTACAAACAAGTTTATGCATGTATGTCTGTTTGGGACAAATCTTGAACTGAATTTTAACTCAGTAATTCTCCAGTGATTTTGCTGAAATTTTTGGATTTGAATTTGACGATTGACGTAGTATGTAAGGAATTGCCAGCGTGTGCTAAGCCGAGTCCTCTCTGCAACCTATGCTCCAATCACGATCGAAATCTTCGATCAACCAACAATATGCTTATTCTATGCTCCCCTTACACCTTCAACTTCAACTCCTCCTTCTATGTCCAGTCAGTTCTTCTCTGGAATGCCCTCCCTGCCGAAATCGGGATGTCCACAAACCGCCTTGCATTCAAGAAAAAAGTGCGCGATCTTCTTCGGAGTGAATCGGCAGAACAGTAACAACGCTAGTACCAGACTGAGTATTTATATATTTTATTAATTTTATGTAGGTTTACTTATGTATGTGTATTTATAGATTGTGTATGTTTCTGAACCTAAATTATGTTAAATTTAATATTTTGTTTTGCACCTACCGCATCATATTTCTACATCACCTGAAGGTTGACTGGAGAGCCTAATGACATTAAGTCCGCCTTTGTACAATATATGCATTAAGTTTAAAATAAATAAATAAATACTGAAAGAGTTATTCAAATGTGTTTAATCGTTCATAAATTAAATAAAAAACTTTTCGGCTTTATTACATGGCTATGATAACTCACAGGACCGATTGTTAGACGTCTTTTAGATGGTATGATAATTGTGATAATGGTCATAGCACTTAGGCCTTATGCTTTTCGCACCATACCCTCTGTTGGGGAAACTGAGGACGTGTGTGGGACTCCCGGAGAACCGGTCTACCCACTAAGCCCCACGGCGGCTTACTTCGGCAGTCGGGAGTAGCTCCAGGAACGCATCAGCGGCTTCTGGAGTCCTCGCCCTAGACTACATCCCCAAGGTCGCACCGGGATGTCACCTGTCTCGGGTGGTCTGCAGCGGCCAGATCACCCCAAGATGTAGCCGCAGCGACCCTTAGTCAGTGATTTGGGAGCAACCGACCTCTGCCGCGTTCCCTTCACCGCCTCTATCGAGCGGGATCGGCCCTCTCCCAATCCCGCTCTGCGATAGCACTTAGGCCTCATCATCATCATCAACAGCCTTTAACAGTCCACTGCTGGACATAGGCCTCTCCTTAGAAAGGAGGTTTTGGCCTACTATACCACGCTGGCCAGACGGGTTGGTATAGGGTTTGTGTCAAGTTTTCCTTCTCTCTGCAGTGCTGGTGTCCTGCGTATTTCGCTCCCTTAGTCGCCTCTTACGACACCCACGGGATGAATAGGGGTGGTGACACTCTGTATTCTTAATCCGTCACCACACGGATGGTATAGCATAATACAAACCCTTGACAAATCGCAGGTTTGCAGTTTTTCTCCTGAATTTTCAAATTAAGCAAATAATAATTCTAATAACAGACCTGATCGCCAAAAGTCAGAGATATAAGTGACTGGCGTGACTGGAGATTGAAAATAAGCTCCTTCTCGTTTCCTCAAAATGGGATGCCAATAGTTATAGATACAGGCATCAAAAAATATATTGGTAGTTCTTTAAAGCTAATCCATACTTCCATACTTCAATACAAATATTATAAAGAGGAAAGATTTCATTTTTTCTTTGTAACGAATAATCTCCGAAACTACTGGACCGATTTTAAAAATTATTTCAATAAATGGAAAGCTACAAAATCAGCAAGTAACATAGGCTACTTTTTGCCGCGATAACTGAACAGCGGGCAAAAGTTATTGTTGTTCGCTTCATACTATGCATGAAGAACGATAACATTCCTATGGAGGGTAGGCGGCATAAAAGAACGAAGTCGAAACTATTTTACAACGTATTGATGGACTGCGTGGAAGAGGATATGGCTAGGAAGGAAGTAAGTAGTTGTCTAATGATAAAAGACAATCATCATCATCAACAGCCTTTAATAGTCCACTTCTGGACATAGCCCTCTCCTTAGAAAAGAGGTTTCGGCCTTCGATACCACGCTGGCCAGACGGGTTGGTATAGGATTTGTTTCAAGTTTTCCTTCTCTTTTTAGTGCTGTTGTTCTGCGTTGTTTTCTCCCTTAGTCGGCTCTTATGACACGCACAAGATGAATCAGGGTTCAATACCGTTTTTCCAAATCCGGAACAGAAATGGTATCACATAAGGGCCGACTTTAAACTAAAGAGCTCTCAAGGTAAGGAAGTTATATTATTGAGTATCCATTTAAAATCAAAGTATCTTTTATATCTTAATGACGTCTTCATTGTTTACCTCTTTAACTATCTTCAAAACAAAAAATAATATTAAAGCCAATAAATACTATACTAATAACTAAATCTTTTATATAATTTCTAAATTACAATAATTAAATTATTTTTACGTGAAACGGAATTTTATACTACAAAAAAAAGTAAAATGTTTGTCTTAGATATTTATAATTAACCTCCGCTCTTGTACATCCAATACGCATTCTTTTTTTTTCAATACAAAAATTATTTATACAAAGCTTGCAAAAGTAAAAAAAACATTTAGAAAATACGTACCATTTGCGTTTCCATCAGCATCAGTCGCAGGACCGGTGAACTTCAGACCTCTTGTTGTTTGGTTCATCTCAACCAAGTCCGCTGCAGTAACTACCCGAAAGCCTAGTCCGTGGCTAGACACTGTAGAGTTCCACTGCCACAAACACATATCATGTTCATGGGTAATATTTTCAAAGTTACAAAACACCCCTGTAGCGTGTGACACATAATTCCTATTCACGGTTTCATACATGGAACTGTTCGGACGAAGGCTGCTTATTATTTTTTTAATTTTATTATCTGCCATAGAAAACGTCTGATTGTCATAAATCTTTTGACTAATAGCTATGCCTTCATTGTCATTCATCATCGTGTCATTATAACTTTTATTCAGTAGATGTAATTTATCGACGCTGGATTTTGCTCCATTCCTTCGATTTTGCCGTCTATCCTCTGTCCGGTTCATAAGACTGCTCAATTTATGGAATGAACCTCGTTCTTTACCCGGATTTGCGCTCCTGTACTTTTGTCCCTTCTCCGGCGCCATGGTTTTCTTCGCTTTATTTTCTTTTTCGATTTCATGGTCGCCAAATGTGATGGCAACCACGACCAGTATGGTGAATAACTTGCCAAACGCCATTTAGTGAAACAATATTGTTTTCAGATATATAGGCCGCTCGGCGCGGTCTGCCGTTTCGGATGCATCGTTTGCTGTGTCGTACACACTCATAACAATAGTTAACACTAAAGTTCAGTACGAAATAGGTACGCGATTATCTTATTAAGCGCGTGTGTTGGACGCGGGTCGCGGCCTGTTGGAAAACGGCCAGACGTGCGCTCCGCACGGTCGATACACTCCCATACAAATACATGTTGCAATAACATTCATTTGTAAAACAACATCTAACACTATTAATTTTATTACACTAGGAAATTTTCCTTTTATCTCGCACACCCTCACAGCCCCTGGAAAACTGCTACTAATGGACGACACCGAGATACGTGATACGATGTTATCCCACACAGTTTTAAACTCCCTGAGCAGTTTCAGTCACAGTTACTTAATATTAACAATTAAATTTTCACTGATACAAATTAAAAGATGTAATTTATCAATTTATATTACTGTTAATACATTTTAAAATCCATATAACGAGGTACGTACGCCGCGGTCGGACTCCCGTGCGCAGCGCCACCGCGGGAGTATGCGGAACTAAACGCCCGCGGACAGAAATAATCATTACTTTTCGCGAGATGTGATCTTGGAGCGGCGTTTGAAGGGATGCTGCGCAGGTGTAGTCCCGCCCCGGACCATTCCCGGGCTTTACGCGCAGGATGTAGTCGCATCGCAGACCGGCTATTGCATTGGCTCAATTAGTATCACCGCTCATGGTGGAGCTCTCTTATTGGTTATATTTACAGGCAGCATAACGGTATTGGTCGCCCGTGGAAATCCCGCGAAAACAGACCTATCGTGGGCGACACCGGATATTATATGAAGAAAATTTCCTTAGCAATTTGTTTACGCGATCGGCGGGTGGTTGTCGTTTTTTTTTGCCGACTGCGGAGATTAGATTGGAGTTTTTTCCACATTTATGAGTTCCTATTTCATTAAAAAAACTTCGTTACAATCGGTTCTTTGATATTGACGCAAATCTCATTCGCGTTGGTTTTGTTCCATTTATAAAGTGATCGATAAAAGTGTCCTATTGTTTATCTCTAGAATGAAAAATATTTTGTTCTAGTTAACATTTTTTAGTATGACATTAATTTCTTTATTGTGTGGTTATTGTAGAGCTTAAAATGTGAGTATAAATATTTGGGTGATAACATAAACAATTGAATATTTTTTCTCAGTTTACTGTCAGATTACAACTATTACAATTTCGTTCCGAAACGTGTTCTTTCTGATTAACATTTCTTAAAGAAAAATAATAGTTTTTCTAATATAAATAGTAAGGTAGCATGGAGTTTATTTTGATGTTTAAATTAATGTTAAATTGTTAAGATTAATAAAGTGAAACATTTACAACCATTATTAGAAATTAAACTAGTAACTTTTTAATTCTGCGAAAAAGTAGGTTGATAAATATAAATTAACCTCTTAGTTTCCGAACGTAATCATCAATTAGCCAACAGCCAGTGCACTTGCAGCATTCTATACCACTCCTTGCGTTGTGAACGTAGACTGTTATGGTCCTAATTAATAACTGCAGTTTTTTATCATAGAACTCAGTAAAATTAATAATAATTATATGTTTATTTCACAGCGTTCTTAGCTAATTAACTTGTGACAATGTCAAGTACTTCTGGAGTGATATCTGTGCTTTAAAATTTGTATTTATTTCTATTGTTTATTTTAAACGGTGAGTCTTTGCAATACCTTTACCCTTAAAAAAGTAGGAGTGCTTATCAATGGTTTGTGCTCTATATTTAAACTCATGTTTTACTTGTAAATAAATATGGAATGTAATTTTTCCGGTCGTAAAATAGTAAATTTCTAATAAGTATGATTCAGTTCTTTCATCAATTTGTTTAAATTGCTAATCTTATCGTTCTGAATGAATACTTGATGCATCTGTTTACATGGCTTAATATGCAAATCTAGTTAAAAGGTTTTATTGTATTGTTAGCCCAAAATTCACAGATTAACAGGTACATACATTCCAATACAGTATGATTCACTGTCTCTTCTACATATTTCTAATTACACTATACAGGAAATCATTATTACAAACAATATAGAATTTTACCGTTAAGTCTCTCTGTATTTACTTAATGAAAAAAATAATACATTCATATTTATTGCATAGAAAACTTTTACATAATAATTTCTAACATATTGGTCATAATTTTATAGCAAATTTAATTTGTGGGCAAAAGAATCATTTTATGGAAGCCTAAATCACGATTGAGATCTTAAGAAATAAGGTATGAATAGATGTAATCACTGTAATTATCGTACATTATAATAATAAGATTATTATCTTAGAATTTTAAGATCCAATCTACTTGTAAGTGATTTACACACGGCTAACAATATTCTGGTGTACTGTGTGTTATTTAGGGGAAGTGTATTATTATATGCTGGCCTGTTAAGAAAACGGATGAGAGAAGCCTGAACGTAGCCGAAATGCGAATGCTGAGATGGATGTGTGGTGTGACTCAGATGGACAAGGTTAGGAATGAGTATATACGAGGTAGTCTGAAAGTAGCGCCACTGGATGAAAAGTTAAGAAGTAATAGGTTATCTTTTTATGGACATGTCATGCGGAGGGATGAGTTTAATGTGGCGAAGAAAGTTTTAGGTATGGGAGTGGTTATGTACAAGAGAAGAGGCAGACCGAAGAAAAGGTGGATGGACTGCGTGAGGGAGGATATGGCTAGGAAGGGAGTAAACAGTGAGATGACGCATGACAGAGTAGAATGGAAAAATCATACATACTGCGCCGATCCCAAATAAAATTGGGAAAAGGGTAGGCAGATGATGGTGATGTATTATTATATGCTTACATGTGTTTGATTTGTAATAATTCATTTCTTCACATCACACCATCACATCAACAGCCTTTAACAGTCCACTGCTGGACATAAGCCTCTCCTTAGAAAGGAGGTGTTGGGCCTACTATACCACGCTGGCTAGACGGGTTGGTATTGGGTTTGCGCCACACCACCCCGCCGCAAACCCCGGAGGGGTGACGGTCCGAGGGGATTTCCACACGTTAAAAAAAAAAAAAAGGGTTTGCGCCCTTAGTCAACTCTTACGACACCCACAGGATGAATTCCGTATTCTTAATCCGTGACTACACGGACAAATTTAGTTTGCCACATACATATCAAAAGCATGCATGCATTAGGATACATGATTCGAATCTTGCAAACAGCACCACCTTCTTCTTAGCTGAAACAGTTCCACTGCTGGCCATAGGGTTCCCCAAAGTTGAAACAGCACAACATATCCTGTTCACTTTGTGGAATAGATTTAGGCCAGCCATAAAATAAATCAGCTAATATTGCCATGATACTCATTTAACTGACCCTAAATAAAATTTTCCATATGATGACCAATTGAGAATACAGAGAGTCACCACCCCTATTTGTCGTAAGCCGACTAAGGGGGCAAACTACGCAGGACAACAGCACTGCAAAGATAATCAAAACTTAAAACTAACCCTAAACCAGTGGCCAATGTGGTATAGTAGGCCAAAACCACCTTTAAAAAGAGAGGCCTATGTCCACCATGTACAATCATAGATATCCTATTATAATTATGTATAATAGCAACATTAAAAATCCCCATTCACAAAAAAACTTAAAAAATCAAGAACTGCTTGTTGAGACTGTTCTAATAAGCCAAAAAATGGTATATATGCTGCAATTTTCTAAGGAGTTGGCTATTCTGCAGACTACTTGATGCAGCAGCAAGTTCCACGTTATTTACCCCTTCAGGAAGAAAAGTTGTGAATGTGTGTTGTGGAAACTCATAATTTTAATTTGTTTTATTTAACTTCAAATTCAGTACCTTATTCGATGAATCACTAGTTTCTTTATATGAGAAAATTATAAATGCAACTAAGTTAAAATAAAATAAAATCTATTCTCACTAAACAGGTACTTTTGTTTCATTTTTCTTCTTAAAAAAAGACAACTCCCGCATTAGGAATATATTCCTGTGTCGTGGGGACATTACAAACATACATAAAAAGGACACAAAGAACACCCAGACTCAGAACAACAATTTATGGATCACACAAAGTGTAGTCCCATGTGGGGATCGGACCCACAACACTCAGCGTAGTAGTAAGCGGCGTGGCGACCGTTTAAAAAACGTCTTTTAACTATGACTGTACATATTCACCTAAAAACATTATGTTAACCTTTGTCATGTTTTTGTTATACTGTGTATATTAGTACAGTAAGTTATTTATATATATATACACAAAAAAATTGTATGGTCTGACAAAGTCGTAAATTTTTTTTAAAGATTGTAATTTATCTGTAATACGTATCTATTTACAAATATATAAGTATGTTTATCAGCAGTCTGGTAATCATAGTACAGACTCTGCCTAGTTTAGGATCAGACGGCCGTTTGTGAGATATGTAAGATATATTACAGTTATACAAATGATAGTTTAACCGCAAACTGAAGCCTCTTAAATGATATAGGCAAATCGGTATCATTGGAATACGCGGAATGTTTACGGGTTGTCCAGTTGCGGGGCGGTGAAGTTGGTGGCTACAATGACATGCCTCGAAGTTCTTTAATTAAAAGTCTTGACTCATTACATAGATTTGGAGGGTATACATTTCTTAATATCATTACGGCGATTCATGTCCATAATTAATGATATCTGCTTAAAGAATTGACCAATTTTAATGTTGTAAAGACCAAAAATTATCTACTTCGAATTATCTCGATGATGAAATACTTTAATTTCATAAGGATTCATATAATCACGCGAAAAAATGCATCTAAAGTATATAGTGGAAATTTAATGATCTGAAAAAAAAAATGTTTTTTAAAACTTAGCTGTTATAGATGGATATACCCCCTCGCGAACTTTTTTGTAGATCTTTTTTAGTCTTATAATTAATTACCACATTATTTCGTCTCATCTTTAACCATTTAAACAGCGCACGCGAAGAAAGGAAATTTTTGAGACGATTTTAAGATTTTTTTCGACGTCTAAGTTTTTTTAGAAATAAATGATAGCCATGTTACTTCCTGATAATGTAGCTTTCTATTAGTGAAAAAATGGTTAAAATCGACAAACAAAAAAATATTTCCTCTTTATAATATTATTATTACTTAGTATATATAAATCTAATCGTTAGTTTCCTTTGGTCTATTTGGTGGAAACGTCGGGCAACCAAAAAGTTACCCCCAATTTCGAATCGGGTGTAGTGTCATGTGTGCCAATTATTGAAAAAAACGTGAAAATGAAACGTGAAAATGTATATATATATTAATATATATTTTAATACGAAAATAATTATTTAAAACGTACGGACAAATATTATGAACAATAAATCAGTTCTATAGATTAGCGCGTATAAATAAACAATTTATGTTTGTTTATACTACTTCTTAACTTCAGATTTATTAAGTATGTCAGTATTGTTATGTACAGTGGTTTCTGAACATAGTAAAGAAATCGTGACTCTAAATTCCACATATCTATTTTAGATGTGCTGAAAGATGTCAGGCGGCAACTCCAAGAACAAATCTCGCAGTAAGACGCACGAAGGATGGGAGGAGGCTGGAGGGGAGTTCTACCAAGAGTTATACCCTGGAGGGGAGCAGGAACTCTTTGAGAACTTACAGAGAGCTGATGCTGCTAAACTAGCTACGCTACTGCCATCGAAACAGGCGAGAAATAGTAAGAAACATTTTTAATCGACTTCATACAAATAATATTTCAAAAAAACTAAAAAACACGTTTTTTATAGCAAACCAAACTAAAAAATATGGGGTGCTTTTTACTATTGACAACAGGCACCCAACGCTTTCTTTTTTCGAATTTATTAAAATTTATTTTCTATTTTGGTTCTCTATAAAAAGCGTGTTTTTTAGTGTTTGAAACTATTTTTTTTTAATTTTATATATGTTTTTTAAATCTGTGTATTGTCGTCGGTCCTCGATATTTTGTAGACACAAAGTTTGAACGAATTCTGACCGCTTAAAGTCAGTCCAAATCACGCTCAAAGGACTCGGTTACAAACAAACATACAGGTGAAGCTAATAAAAAAACTTTCTCCATTTGGTTGTCTTTGAATGTATGTTACCACAGAGCTTTTCTTTTTTTTTTTTTTTTATTGGGACTAATCCCACCCACACGCCCACCACTGTAACTCCTGTACACCAGGATCCACAGCAGTGACCCACGAACACACCGAGTTATGACACTCGGGTTACCACAGAGCTACGGCATTTATAGTACGATTAGCTTTTTATGTTGGCTATCGTGGTAAAAAGCAGCCCATGTCCTGCCCCACAACTCAAACTATCCCTATATCAAATTTCATCTAAATCGGTTAAGTGGTTATTGATTCCTAATACAAACTTCCACCCTCCTTTTCACCCCCTTAAAGGATGATTGCTGGGATAAAAACTATACGATATGCATTCCCGGGACTCGAGACTATCTCAATACCAAACATCTCAATCGGTTTGATCTCGGTCGAATTTGGCAAATCTATAGAACGATTTGGAAAAATATTTTTTATTTAGCAGGGTGTTTTACTCGTTTGGTTTCATTCAAATTTGAAGAAATAATACCACACCTGAGCGTTCAACGTCATCAGCCTTTAATAATCCACTGTTGGCAGGTTTTGGCCTGCTATACCACAGTCCCACACACTGAGTGTTCATTCACCATAATGTATGCGCCTTGAAGCCGGTGTCACTATTTAAAAGATCCTTTATTGTTTAAAAAAATTATACATAATTATATACACATAAATAATAATAATAATAAATCGATCTAAGTGGCGTGCAATGGGAGAGGCCTATGTCCAGCAGTGGACTGCGATAGGCTGATGATGATGATGATGATACACATAAAAACAAATATTATGTTAAGGGAATATTATCACATCACATCACATCATCAACAGCCTTTTACAGTCCACTGCTGGACATAGGCCTCTCCTTAGAAAGGAGGTTTTGGCCTACTATACCACGCTATCCAGACGTGTTGGTATAGCCTGTATCAAGTTTTCCTTCTCTCTGCAGTGCTGTTCTGCGTAGTTTTCTCCCTTAGGCTCTTACGACACTCACGGGACACTGTATTTTTCATCCGCACCACAAGGGTATAACTGAATATATACACATAAAAATAAATATTATGTTAAGGGAACACATACTTAAATAAAATAGGTACACATACAATTGCATGGTATCAAAAACTGCTCAGCAACTCTAATAGTTTCTTTAACAATTTCTTAAAATTAAGAAGCGCACGTGCCCGTCTGCTGAACAGTAGAAACGCATTCCATTAACGAATGACCTGTAATGTTAAAAATTTATCAATGCGAGTTGTAGAATGCGACGTCAGTTACTGATTCAAATTCTCAAACGCCAAGGAATCTTGTTGTAAGAATTCCAAGCATACTTTGAGATAAAGATAGCGGTTTTATTAAGGGATTTCTTTATTATGATGCATAAGAACATTTATTCATTTATAGTATTTGGCTGCCAAGTTTCGCTGTTGCACATTGTGGTGGCATTGATAAGAAGTAAGGAACTAAACTGAGCAAAAAAATTAAAACAATGTTTGGAGCTGGTTGTATATCGTGTCAAAATTTGAGCTCAATCGGTACAAAACTTTTTACGAACACAAACCAACGTAACATTTATATAGAAATATATATTTATAAATATAGATATCAAATCAAATCAAATCAATATATTTGCAAACACAGGTACATTTATAGGTGTTATAAAATATAGATTTGTCTGCTGCATTTTACCACATTATTGGTGTGCAAATATTTATCATTACAATGTTACATTTCAAAATTCAAACAATTCAAAATACACTTTGCCAGAAGAATAAGTTTTAATACAATATGTATATATATATATATATATATATATATACAGCCTTGGCCAAAAGTATTAGGCACCCTACATTTTACTTAAAATAAAGGAAAAAAACAACTAATACTTTTTGAATTGATTTATTACCATAAAATTACACAAAAAAGAATGAAAAAAACTTAAAATCTAGTTGGTCCACCTTTGGATTTAATTACTGCACTAATTCTAACTGGCATGCTGCGTACAAGCTTAGTACAATCCTCTCTTGTAATGGCATGCCATTCTTGTACTAACGCATTTTTAATGCCGTTTTCGATGTGATACTATGCTCTTGAATCTTGCCCTTCAAAATGCTTCAAAGATGTTCAATTGGGTTCAAATCTGGTGACTGCGCTGGCCAATCAAACAAGTCAATGTTGTTTTCAGTAAACCAACGCATCGTAGTCGCTGACTTATGACAAGGTGCATTGTCTTGCTGGAATAACTCCCTCTAAGTTGGTATCGCCGAAAATACTCGTTAGCGAAGGCATAAGCGCAGTTTTAAGCACTTTTATGTACTTTTCGCTGTTCATACGACCTGCGCAAACAAACATTTCGCCAACCCCATCAGTAGCCATGCAGCCCCAGATCATTATGCTGCATCCTCCATGCTTTACTGTCGGTACGACGCAATCTGGATGGTATTCTTCGCCCACACGTCGCCCCCGAAGGTCACACCTGGCGTTCCAAATATCTGCTGAAAAAAGAAAAAAAACACCTTTTTTTAAACTGCCTTAACTTTTATTATTTTAGTTAAATAAATAACTGACCATGATTATTCAGTAAAATTTCCTTACCTCAAAGTTAGATTCGTCAGACCATACCACATTGGCCCAATCTTCCTCAGTAAAATGTTGATGCCGTAGAGCCCATTCACGTCGTTTTCTTTTGTTAGCTTCTGAAAGCCAGAGCTTCTTCCTGGCTTTGCATCCTTTTAAGCCTGCTTATCCAAGTCTTCTTCTGGTGGTCCGAGCACTTATTGGCTTTCCAGCCTCTTCGGACAAAGTAGCAGCAAGCTCTGATGATGTGTTCTTCCGATCTTTCATAGATTCGCGTATTTATTTTCTATCCTCGCGCTTCGAAGTCACACGTTTTCTGCCTGTTCTTGGTTTATTAGCGTGACTGCCAGTCTCAGCAATCCGTTTGATAGCAGATTGCACAGCGCAACGCGAACATTTCACTAACTTAGCAATTTCTTTTTGCGACTTCCCTTGTTCATGGAAAAGTTGTATTTTTACTCAGTTTTCCAAAGTAATTTCACTTCTTTTCGGCATTTTTAAATAAATTACGCGTCAATTTAATCACTATGTTAGAAATAAAAGTTTGTTTACTCGTTAGAGTCCTGAACACAAGTGACCAAACATTGACTGATAAGAACTCATAAAAACAAATCCTTTGTTTTCAGTCATCATGTGTTTTATGACCATAACAGATAGCTGCTTGCTTTTCTAGGAAGTTATTTGTGACCCCGGCATGCCATCTAAGATAAGCATTTATTCATTGTTCAATCAGTAAACATGAATCGTGTATTTTTCTGGGGTGCCTAATACTTTTGGCCAAGGCTGTATATACACTATCTTTACCATACAAAGCTTAGCAGTGGCACATTGTTGTTGTTTTGTTGCACACACACAAAAAATAGATTATGAACATCTTTTAAGCGTGTTGTATAACGTATCAAATTTTTCGAGTTTCTGAACTTACGCTAAAATAAAAGTGTTACCAACTTAGGTTTAACTTAACACTTTTATTTATATAGATATATATACATATATATAGTCGTATGATGAAGCCCTGATGACTTATGCTTACGACATTAATACCAAATCCAATCTTTTGAATTCATCAAAAGGAATCATATGAGTATAAATTTGTAAGGTTTTAAAGCAGCAATAATTTACCTAGCTCCATCATCAGGTAAAATCCAAGATGTCAAATTATAGTTTTACTACAGGAGCAAGAAGGTTAAAATTGCCTTCTAGCTAACTAACTCAGCTAATAATAGTCAAGTCTAAGTATGGGTCGCATCGCAAGCGAATATTAAGTGGGCCCTAGGAATGGAATAAAATCACAATCACCTGTGATATAATCATATACTCGTAATCATACCTCTAATTAAAAAAAAGCACTGTGACTTATTATTAATGAATGATATGAATGCATGGTTTTCGCATACGCTTAACGAGGGTGGACCCCTTCCCGCATCACAAATTACTCTTCGTCGGAAAAAAAACAATAATTAAGCGAAATAAGAAATTGCGGGATTATGTGTTACCGAAAAAAAACCGGGATTGTTCAAAATTTTTTTTCTACGAAGTTCCGCGCTTTTAAACTTTGTTTTTTTTTACCGTTGTTAGTAGTGTCTATTAGCTTTATATTAATTCAGTTTGCAGCTTTTACTTTAGCGGAACAAAGTCAGAAAAAAATAAAATCGAAATCCTATTTTTTCTGTTTCCATGGCCCCCATAAGTCGTAGTATGAAGAGTTTTGTTTGTTTTTTTAAAGTAGGATACCACCGGTGGCTATCCCCTACGAATTTTAAAATATCTTTTTTTTAACTTTTTCAAAAATTGGAAAGTTTTAAGGATTATTTTTAAACTACGCAAGCGAGCTCTATGGGAGTTTTACTCTAGCATTTGTAATAAGTTAATATATACTATTAACCGATAAAAATATGTATGTCCGTTTTAGAGGCTAAAAAGAAGACAATGGCACAGAGAGTGGGACATCTGAGCAATACTAATATTTTAAGCTCCCTTTTTAAGACGGCCAAGACGTGGGTCCCGAGTTTGGAAATTTTTGGTTGGTGGGTCGGAGTCTAATCAAGTTTGGGAACCAACAGATCAGCGACACTGACTGCTAAGTCAGAGGTTGTGGGTTCGATTTCCACCCATGACAAACATTGTGTTTTATTCAGTTATTAAATGCGAATATATAGAGTCATAATATACAAAAACTTTTTGATTAAAATTAAAACTAATTCGCGTGATTACGTGATTACATCATCTGATTTACGATAAGGCAAGTTAAGTCGATATACGATTGGGATTATAATTAATCGGGCGGAAATGACGTTTTGCAATGGAAATGGTATTTTTGAACGGAAATTGCGTTAAGTAAAAAAGACAGTTTATCATGGTGTTGTGTTCGTCAGCTGACGTGTTTTATAACTACTAGAGATTGCGTGACGGTCGAATTTCGATTTGTTTTGAACGTTTTACTCTTTTTCTTAATAAATAAATATTTTTTCGGGTATCTAACACACTCGGGTATCTCTACAATGGGTGTATATAATAATAATGTTTTCGGACATCTGACACACAACGCCATCTGGTTTAAAACTAAGCACAGCTTGTACTATGAAAGCTTGATTGACTGATAGAATACTTAGATCCTTTTTTTTGGTAAATACACACATATTATACATAGAAAACACCCAAACTCCGAAAGTCAGCAAGCTTCAGCAGTTCAAGTTTTCCTTCTCTTTGCAGTGCTGTTGTCTTGCATATTTTGCTCCTTTTGTCGACTCTTACAACACTCACAGGTGAATAGGGGTGGTGACACGGGGTGATTAAAATTTCCGATCGAATCAAAAATCGAAACGCGGAGAGCGTTTCGATTTTTGATTCGAGCGGAAATTTTAATTTTTTTAATTGGATCATCAATAAAATACTACCTACTTAACGAACAAAATAAACGAATAGACACGTATTAGGGGAGCCCTGTTGTCCCCCTTTTGATTACGTGGAAATAAAACATAGATTAGTTATACGAGTATATCTATTGCATGTACTATGGAAGCTCAGAGGAATTGTTTACTTACTACTACTGTCTGACTTACCCGTCTGACCATCCGCACCACTTAGATAATTGGCAATCCACCACATACGGTTTTCAATAAAATTGTTTGCCTTACACAACCATTCTGTGGAAGATGTCGTCTGGATTCCCAACCTTCAAGAAAAAAGCGTATTCCCACCTCTAAAGCCCACGTTGCTCGTCTGCCCCCTATATCATAAAAAAGCAACATTTTCCCTGGTTGGGAATCAAACCCACAACCACTACACCAACAGTGCAGTCCTATATCAGCGATCAATAAGTATTTTATTATTAAGTATGTTTTGTATTACCTAACGTTTCGACCAGGTTGCACTGGCCTTTATCACAGGCTGATTCCATGACACAGTCAGCCTGTGATTAAGCAAACTCCAGGTGTAATACCTCACGGGGGGGGGTCGTCTACTCGTCTGTGGATGGCCCGAGGTATGTCGGGGCACCAGGGACTTCCTTTCTAGGGTATATCTGGTTCCCCGGCTATTAGTACCCGAGACGGCGTGCGTTTTTGGTCGGTTCGAGTCAGACATGCCACCGATAGGTGGTATCCGAGGGGATTGCCGCACGGAAAAAAAAAAAGGTGTATAATACCTATTGACTGCTTTAATTCCCGCATTAATCATTATACACATTAATTTAAGTGCAGATAATTAAAAAGGAAACTATGTTTTTAAATCAAATGAATATTATCACCGGATACAAATGATATTATTATATCTTTAATATCTTTTTATTTTTTTGATATCCCTTCAACATCAAAAACAATATTATTTATTTATCTTATCCTAAATCGTTTTTTTATTGGGTGATTATAAAAAAATCGCGCTACGCAATTAAAGTGATAAACAGTCCTTTATATTATTGATTAATTTTCGTTTGTTTTGGGTTTTTTTGGTATGGGTTTTTCTCTTGATACTGATAATTCTCTATAATAAATTGCTAATTATGCTATTCATAACGTGACACATCTCACACACGGCCCTCTGATCCCGAACTAGGCAGAGCCTTTACCATGTAATTATGCCTGTATAATGGATTTGCCGTTATATAGCCCACGGCTTTATTCGTTGATTATTTTTTATTTTTTATTTTTTCGTAAATGACGAACTTTAATAGAAACGTTTGGCCCTCTTTTTACTCCCTTATGTCCGTGTGGTGACGGGTTAAGAATACGGAGTGTCACCACCCCTATTCATCCCGTGGGTGTCGTAAGAGGCAACAAAGGGAGCTAACGTAGGACAACCAGCACTGCAAAGAGAAGGAAAACTTGAAACTAACCCTGTACCAACCCGTCTGGCCAGCGTGGTATAGTAGGCCAAAACCTCCTTTCTAAGGAGAGGCCTATGTCCAGCAGTGGACTATTAAAGGCTGTTGATGTGATGATGATGATGGGTGAAATTGCCAAAAATCCTTTCTTAGTGCTGACAACATAAAAAGCTTTAGCTGACCAAGTTGATAACCTCAGCGGTTTAGGCTCTGTGTTTATTAATCAGTCAGAGCAAGGAATTTTATATCAATAGATTTTATCATCATTATTAGAGCTATACAAAAATATGTTTATTGTACAATAGTAATAAACTAAGTATCATTAAAGATTAACACAATTGATAGCCATCAAAGCGGTCATTGGATTATTTGTTAAATTTATTGCGTTAGGTTATTGGTAGTTGCACTTGGCTTCTATGAAGTCTTTGAGTAAGGCTTATGTCCAGCAGTGGACCTACTAGGGCTGCTGAAATTAGTAAATGAGCTTACCGAAAATCAGCCCCCCTCCCATCAATTATGGAATATGCAAACGACCAAACGGGTACTTAAGTTACTGCAAGAGTCACAAATGCATCGCCCTTTACTCAGTGAAATCAGGAGGTTACCGGAGCTCTCACTCTGTTTAACACCAGTTTACTGTGAGGTCGTGGTATCAGTTCGAGGCAGCTCATAATGCCGAAGCATGGGTCTCTCGCAACGGCAGAAAAGGGATATAAGGGAAATGATTCTGTTATAGTCTTCACATCACATCAACTGCCTCGAATAGTCCACTGGTGGACATAGGCCTCTTCTTAGGAGAAGGTTTTGGCCTATTATACCAAGCTGGCCAGACGGATTTAGTGTAGGGTCTGTTTTAAGTTTTCCTTTTCTTTGTAGTGGTGTTGTCTTACGACACCCAGAGGATGAATAGGGGGAGGGGGGGGGTCACATTCCGTATGATATAGTCGTACCGTATTATAATACAACTCTATTTTGTCCACAGCTACAACAGTTAAGCGCGCCCGATCCCAAAATGAGCGACGACAGTCCACGTACGCAAGGACCACTCAAAGCAGAGACATACATCTGTCTATGCTGCCAGATCTATCAGGTACATTTCATTTCTTCATATTCTGTTGTCTATGGAAGTTTAGCAAGGAGACCGTACGTTATTTTATGTAGATGGATGGACCAAAGAAGAAGACCTCATAGAAAACCTTTCACACTCACAATAACGTTATATTAAAAAAAAAAGAAAAATGAATCGTTTATTTTGTATCTTCTTTTAAATTAAATTTTGAATTATCGAAGAAATTCTTGATTATGTGAAAAAAAATCATACCTGATAAAAAATTAACAATAATAGTTATTATTAATATTTTAACTAACAATAATTATTAGATCTTATAAATGTCTATACATAATATTAAAAAAAACTAAAATAATAATCAACCGTGAGTTACATTGACTAAATTTTTATATTATTTTCTGACAAATTCATTCCCATCATCCATGGATAATTCATTCGATTGATAAAGTTAAACTGAAGTAAGTTACTCAATGGGTTACAAAAAAATATCATTATGAACAGTAAATTTTTACAATAATCAATGTTGTAACTATGACGTAAAGCAAGAACTTAGAATATTGTTAGATACAAGAAAAAAGAAATTAATGTATGATCAATGTAGAAAATTGGTATTTAATTGGAACATGGTACAACACCATGAGAAATGGTACGTAGGTATACCAAGAAATTGGTACGTCTAACATCCCTGGTTCTGAGTCTGGGTGCTCTTTGTGTCCGTTTCATGTATGTCCGTGTCCCCCCGCGACATATAAATATATACTCTTAGTGCGTTAGTTGTCTTTTTAAAAACAAAGCAATTTAATTCTTCAAAGAGAACTTGTTAAAAAATTTATTTAGCGAGAGCCATGTCTTATTACTAAGGTGCATTTGATTCGTGGTACGCCAATTACCACTTCGCGCCTAAAACAATGTTGGGAAAACGAACAGTTCAAGGCGAGACAATGAACGGTGGGTATTACGTACTTACTTTCGTGTTCTATGCTAACTAATGTTATAAATGACGTATCTAGCTATCTGCCTATAAGCAAACGGGTGACCTGTTTGCTGATCCTGGGGCCCCCCCCCAGACTAAAAAGACGAATCTAGCTATCTATCTATAAGCAAACTGATGACCTGTTTGCTGATCATGGGCGGGGGACTCAAAAGACTAATTTCACCATCTATGTATAAGCAAACGTGTTACTTGTTCGCTGATTTGGTGGGGGGGGGGAAAGGGCGAATGTAGCTTCTATCTATCTCTAGTGTTAGTGGGGAGAAACTACGAGATGGGTCATTATCATCAACAGCCTTTAATAGTCCACTGTTGGCCATAGGCATCTCCTTAGAAAGGAGGTTTTGGCCTACTATACCCACGCTAGCCAGACGGGTTGGTATAAGGTCTGTGTCCTACCACCCGTGGACACATGCAACTTGGTCACACAAATGTGTAGTCCCTTTTAGATAGAGGGTGAGGGGTTTTATACTTTGCCATTGGTATAAAGAAAGACAAAGGGTAACTTTCCCCCAGGTAAAGAGTTCTGTTCTCCTGTAATTCATAAACTGATTTATTTTTCAACATATATTTATTTTATTTGCACGAATAGCATATGATGTTTATGCATTATAGATAATGTTTATAAATAAACGCACAATACATTGTACTAGAAAGGAACAATGACTTACTACGTATGATAATTACTGTACGTGAAATCATATATAAAATATTATAGTAGATAATATGTATAAAACGGGACTTAAATGAGGTAAAAAATTGTTTAATTAATCGATATTCCTATTTTGTTCGTGGTATTGCGTGCAGATGCTACCACGGGTCCGGATGTCTTAATAACAGCTGTTCTCGGATCCCTCCTGGTTCAGGGGTAGAATGGCACACTGTGTGGTTTTGGTCGGTTCGATTCCGACACACTGCCCCGCCGTAAACTCTTGTCGGGATGACGCCCCGAGAGGGTGACCACACGTAAAAAAGAAAGAAGTATGCCTGGACGCCGCCTAATTGGGTCGTGATAAGATGGTACCTGTATTTTTGCCAGCAGACGCTAGGAGGGGTCGAGTTGTGTTAATTACAATTGTACCTGAATCTCTTGTATTTTAGGCATAGTACGTATTTTATTTATTTTGGTGCCGTCACTGCATGCCAACTAAAATCCCAACCCGGGAGGAGGGTAGGGGTCTGTTACGGTAAAGTCCGTGTTATGACGGATTAAGAATACGGAGAATACCTCGGGCCATCTACAGACGAGTAGACGACCCCCCCCCGTGTGGGAACCCCATGTTCCCTCTGCTCCCTGGAAGCGAGCGCGCTTTGCAACGCGCTCGTTCTATAACACCCCTGTATAATTCCGTCATGTTAATAATAGCTACTATTTATTCCAATCCACAGAGAACCTATCGAACGAGGAGCGAACTTGGGAGGAGATCATGCAGATCAAAGCAATGCCGGTGCCCATGAACCAGAAACGTGACCTCAAAGCAAGATTACAGGTATGATTACATTATTGGTAATCTCTTTTTTAACATACAGAATGATTTAAAAATATGACTGCCTCGGTGGTAGCGTATGCGACTATTTTGATGTTTTTTTCTATAATACGTATGTATGTATTTACAAAAAAAAAGTATTCTATCAGTCAATCTAGCTTTCATAGTACAAGCTCTGCTTAGTTTGAAACTAGATGGCGTTGTGTATAGATGTGCGAAAATATTATTATTATATACATACTTTATATTTAATCGAAGTAGAATATAATATGTCCCAAACCCAATTCAAACTAAACAAAGCCTATATTATGGTAAGCTGTCTGCTGATAAACATACTTAAATAATTCTAATCTCATCACAAAACATTTGACGTGGGTGGGCTTCTCACAAGTTATTTCTGGACTACAGCTTCTTCTTATCATCATCATCAACAGCCTATAATAGTCCCCTACTGGACATAGGCCTCTCCTTAGAAAGGAGGTTCCGGCCAGACGGGTTGGCATAGGATTTGTTTCAAGTTTTCCTTCTTTTTGCAGTGCTGTTGCCCTATGCAGTTTATTCCCTTAGTCGGCTCTTACAACACCAACGGAATGAATAAGGTGGTGACATTCCGTATTCTTAATCCGTCACCACATAACTTCTTATACTCATACAAAAAAAAAAAAAAAAACCCTCTTGTATCATTGACAGAATGCAACAAAGCTCCGACTCCAAGGATTAGAACAGCTCCAATGGAGACAGAGAAAAGTATGGCACTGCTTCAGAATTAGATTCTCCGAGTTAGTGGGCAAGCTTGAGCTCTGGCATTCTCCCATGAGGGAGATCGAAGGGAAATTCGGCACCGGCGTGGTCTCATACTTTATGTTCCTCAGGTGGCTATTATTTTTAAACATAATTATATCATTAATTATAATAATATTCATGATTCTTCCAAAACTATTATTAACGGAGACGGACAATGAATGTAAAGATTCCAACACAAATTCTTCTGTGTGCTGTTCAAATGCGTACTTCTCAAAAAATCTTACCAATTCTAATGTATTCTTTGATGTTATACAAGGAACAGGGTGGATGGAACGGACAATTTTGTTCTACGGAGTGTATTCAGACCAAATACACTCATATCAACTTCCAAGTTTATTTGAAAGTGAAATGTATTACAATAACCCTATGGCTTATATTCTGGTAGCTATTTCCTGGGTTCTATTATCTCTTATTGCTATTGTAAAGACAGCAGCCAAGGGTTTCAAAGAGAGATTAGTTGAGAGTGAAGGTCAATTTTATATGTATTGTAATTTGGTGTTTGGTGGATGGGACTTTTGTATACACAATGATAAATCAGCTAAGATTAAACACAAAGCCTTGTATAATGAAGTGAAAGGTTGTCTCGAAGAAGAGAGGTATAAAGAAGAGAAGCAGTTAAGAAGTAGAGAAACTCAAATCTTATTACATTTAAAAAGGTTACTAATCAATTTGGTAGTATTTGTTATTTTGATAGCGTCTGGCCTCTTAATCTATGTGACGTTCAATTATTCTACGAATAGATTGAATCAAGAGATTACAGAACAAGTTAATAATGAAATTATCAACACCACAAAGGCAGCGTTAACGACTAGTCTTAGTTTGTACAGAGAAGGTATGACCTTCGGACAACTAGAGAACACACTCTTAGAATTTCTACCGTTCATAACAATAGTCGTACTAAATCTAATAGTACCAGAAATCTTTAGTTATTTAATAAAATTAGAAAATTACACACCACCAAACATAATTTTAGTAACATTACTAAGAACTGTGTTGCTAAGGCTGTCGTCGTTAGCCGTATTGCTCAGCCAAATGTATCTGTATATAGGTGAAAACGGTTTTGTATGTTCGTACAATAATTTTGATTCATCAAAACTCGAATGTTGGGAGACTTATGTTGGACAACAGTTATATAAGTTGATTTTGACTGACTTTGCTGTACAATTCTTCACGACATTCTTTATTAATTTACCTAGGGCTTTTATCGCTAGACATACGAACAGCCGATGTTTAAAAATCATTGGTGAACAAGACTTCTATCTCCCAAAGCACGTACTAGACATAGTGTATATACAAACAATTATCTGGATGGGATCATTCTTCTGTCCATTCTTACCATTAATCGGTACAATATTTTACTTTTTTATATTTTATATAAAAAAATTCACCTGCCTTATTAACTGCACACCTTCACCGGTTGTGTATAAAGCTTCAAAATCAAAATCTTTATTCATGTCTGTTCTACTTCTTGGTTTTGTGATATCAATAGTTCCAGTTGCTTATTCAGTCGCTGAAGTTTTCCCGTCAATCAGTTGTGGACCTTATAGAGGTAGAGATACGGTATGGGATTTCGTTGTCCAGACATTTGATGGTTTCCCATACATTATAAGAGAAATTATCTTCTTAATAGGGACATCCAATTTTGCTGTACCAGCTTTTGCTATATTACTATTGTGTTTATATTACTATTGGGCTGTTGCGACTGCCAATAGGCATATGGTGACGGTTCTCAAGAACCAGCTGGTGTTAGAAGGTCACGACAAGCAGTTCTTGCTGAATAGGCTCAGTGCGTTTATAAGGCAGCATCAGAAACGGTGTGAAAGGCGAAACAGAGCCAGTTTTGCTGATGACGATGCTGAGATTAGGCAAAGTTCTAGGTAAAAGTATTCTTTAATTAATATGGTCTTATATGGATATTTATATTTTATGTCGTATGTGGTCGTCTATGGTTAGTGGCTAAAAGACGCGTTGACCCTTCTGACTAGTATCTGATGTAAAAAATGACATGATTGTCTATGACTGTATATGTATATACGTATGTTTTTTAAAACTACCTTCAATACCTAATTTTGTGTAACACTTTTCATATTGTAAAAAAATGTGTAATCAGAGGGTTAATAAGAAAAATAATAATAAAAGCCCAAAAAATAAATAAATATTGACTATTTTATTCATATATTACATAAAATATATTTATCCATGTCAGCCTATGCATTTTATAAGTACATTTATAAGTATAAAGTATGTTAAACTATCAATATAGATTATATAAAAATGCCATTATTTATTGTATCTTTCTATTGGTGTGTTGCCATGTGTAAAAAATGTTTTAGTCATGATTTTGTATAATACTTTTTTATCGATTCGTGTCTCAAAATGTCTGATACTTTTCAATGCTCAAATCATGACAATCATAGACTTTTTTATATTTATTTTTTATTGTAGCCGTACATTCGTACTTCGTATCCTGATAATAGTTAAATAGATGTGAAATATTCCTAAAACAAGTTAATAAATTCAACATACGATAAAACTTTAGTTCATTAGACTTAAAAATATGGAATAATTTGAGTCAACCTAGAATCAATTGTTTATTAATTAAGTTTAAAATTTTCCTCTGCGGGTAAGGTTCAATATTATTCAAAAGGTCAGGGACATTTAACGTTAAATAATTAAAATAATAGAATTGTGTTTTTAGATAAATTATTTATGTTATAATGACGCATTACAACGGTATTTCAGTACGATTTGAATTGAAAGTCCTCTACCCCATTATATGTTTAAATCATTTGAGCATTTACTATTTACATATTATTTACTAGCAAATATGGAGTGTAGAGACAAGCAGAACCATCTCAATAGGAGGGGGAGGGGGGGGGGGGGGGGGATTGAAAAAGTGTTGTCATGACTGAAGAGAGTAGTTAGTAAAATGCTAGTATACTAAACCTCAACTATCTTATTCTAATTACTTTTGGCGCTTTCTTTAAAATTTGACCTAGGCTACCGCAGCGCCACCATTGGACGCGTTTTACGGACACTTCATAGACAGAGATGGTTCTCCTTGCTTCTACCCTCTATACTACCAAACTAACCTTCTTTGTCACAAAATGCATAATATTATCATAATAATAATAATAAATAAATATTAATTAATTAATAATACCTTAAATTTCACCAACTCTGAAACAGGGAAGTTAACAAATACCAACAGTTGTAATACATTATCAATTTATTATAAACTATAATTAAACATTTTTTTTTGTCTCATGAAATGCAATCAAGTTTTTTTTCTTAAACCAATAGTTACAAATATAATTTCTATATTATACGTATATATTTTAAATATTCCATTTTTGATCTGTAATTTCGATTTATAGGATGCACAATCAAATTCTAGGACTTAAAATAACATGAAAAATCTGTTTTAATTATTTAAAAAAAACATATGTAATTTAATAGAAAATCTTATTTCTTAACATTAATTAATATTTTAACCACATTCCTATCATATATAATTTACCTGTATTTATTATAAATTCTGCTTGTAATCCAGAAATAAGACTGAAATAAAATTGTAGCCATTTCAATCTTCGCCTACAGCAATCATGTAACTATTTTGCCACATTATTATCGACTTCTTATTTGATATAATGTATAAAGTATTACATAATGTATTAGTTAAATAAAAAAATGTGAATAATACGTTATAAAATATTATATGAAGTAAAACAAAATTGTATATTCATTAAAATTTTATATGTGAATTGTATAATAGCGAGACTGTTTTTAAAACTTTCTTTTTTTAATTAAAATGTCTTGCTCAAATGAGTTCTTAAGACTTATTGTACATTCTTAATATAATTTTATGGTATACGCACACTGGATAATTTAAAAACCACATTTGAAATTATAAAATTTGTTTGTGCATAAATAAAGTTTGATTGACTGCACGGATGGCGTAGTGGTTTAAGCGGTCGCCACGCCGCTCACTACTACGCTGAGTGTTGTGGGTCCGATCCCCACATGGGACGACACTTTGTGTGATCCACAAATTGTTGTTCTGAGTCTGGGTGTACTTTGTGTCCGTTTCATGTATGTTTGTAAAGTCCCCCGCTACACAGGATCTATTCCTAGTGCGGGAGTTGTCTTTTTTTAAAAGAACAAAAAAGAATAGATTTATCCGTCCTAAATCTTAGCTGCGGAACTGTCATCAATTTTTTTCGTGTGCGTAAAGAATTTTGAAAGATCCAACAGCTAGATGCTGTATCTGAAACGAATTGACTTAAACTGGAGTTCGGTCTTAGGATCTAATTGTGGAATCATCATGTGACTTCACTGCCCTGGAGGGCGGAGGAAAAGACAAAATAACTTACCATAAACCTTATTTTTTAAAGGTTTTCAAACCCATATTCCTCTTCTCTTATAAATAATATGCAGAGTAAAATAATACCACATTAATGTTTGCTTAAAAGTAGACTTGCAACGAATAGTATATTCGGCAGTATACCGAATACCGAATATTCGGCGAGGCCCCTGACCGAATAGCCGAATATTAGGCAAAAGTATTCGGCTGGATTTTAGCGCCAAAAACTTGTACAGACGTGAATTAAATTATGTACCTGTTTTATGTACCAATGACTACTTAATAAATGATTATAAAAGAAATGAGAACCTTACCCTTCTAAATTTTGATTACCACAATAATTCAAATACATAGAATCCTCCATTTTTCCAATTCAGAAGATGATTATGTACCTGTGTTATGCACCAATGACTACTTAAATGATTATAACAGAAATGAAAATATGAATATATACGTAATCAATCGATTTTAATTTTTCATTTTACCAATTATTTCTCAATGACAAAATATATTATTTAAGTATTCGGTATTCGGCCGAATATAATAAAAGCAGCCGAATAGGCCGAATACCGAATAGTAACCGAATATTCGTTGCAAGTCTACTTAAAAGCAATAAAAGATTGCCCAGTGTGCGAAAGCCTGTTCATTACTAAATGCTCATTCTTACATCTTTTAACAATTTATTAGCGGTTTTGATCAATTACGAAGCTCTCTTTTTTAATCTGACAAAGAATGATCACTTCGCGTAATGCCAACGTGATGTACATCGCCCACTTCACAGAATAACTTATCAAAGTTGGGGTAACTTTATACAAGGTGGATCAATAAACTATTATTGGTAATTTTGCAAAGTGGTCACTCCACGTTGGACAATTCGCGAAATGTCCATTCTGCAGCTGATAATCTTTTGTAAATCTGTACGTATGTACATACTAGCATTTATTAGTATATAAGTAGTTTCCTTAGTGATCTCAATAAAGAATCATTATACACATTTCTACTAGAATAACCTTTTTTTATAATTTATTGTTTTACACAAATAACAAAATGACTTATGTACGCTCATGTAAGTACCCAACTATATGCAAGGTTTTTTGTTTATCAAATGTATGTTAGGTTAGAAAATTCTAGATTTTTTTAAAATGTATAACCAATCTTTTGTGTTTTAACTGACAATTTAAATGTCTAGTCAGAATTGAAACTTTAGCTAATTGAGTTGTAAAATCGTACATAGTATATTAGTAGTTTTCTCGCCATGCCCTGATAGGTAAGTTTCGGTATTACGTCACTCAGTTAATTTAATATCTCCATTTACCCTCACATTTCAAGTTTCAAACCAAACCATGTAATAAATTAGTTCAAATCTTAAAAGTACCAGGAGACCATACCTCTATAAAATTAAAAAAAAAAAACAATCAAGAGTTGTTCATCTTGTTTCAGTTGTCTTTTTTTTTAACAAAAAATTAAAGATGTCACCATAACAACTTGTAGTTTCAAGTTAGGTATATGTAAGAAAACCCCCTCCCCTCCTCTCTCTCCCTCCTGGTGGGGAAACTTTAACCACAATTTTATTTGTAATGTTAAGTTTTGTTTTAAATTTTTAGCTTGATATATGTAGCTAAGATTTAGTATAGTTGAATAGTAATTTTTGTAATTGAATCCTATTATTTCATTCTAAGTTTTTGCATTTATTTTATATTTAAATACTCTTATTAAGCATTCCAAGTTCCTGCATTTGCGTAGCTTTTTAAAAATGCATTCTTTAAAAAAAAAATCACGTATTATCATAGATTAGAGTTAAAAGATTTTTTAATAATTTGACCTTAAACCTATTAGGGATGGCGATGAATTAACCCATGTCAAATTTAACCCCTGATTCTTAAATCTAGAAAATTATATTTACAAAATTAGTTATTATAACTGTGTTGTGTCCTATTATTTTTATTTAGATTGTATACGTTCTGTACTAATAATGTTGATGAAAGTCTGCGAAAAAATAACTCAACAACAGCGAAACAAGAAAAAATAATAAGAACTATCGTTACAGTATTAGTACTAATATTAGTTAATCCAACTACAATTAATAGAACCATAAAATAGACTTGCAACGAATAGTATATTCGGCAGTATACCGAATACCGAATATTCGGCGAGGCCCCTGACCGAATAGCCGAATATTAGGCAAAAGTATTTGGCTGGATTTTAGCGCCAAAAACTTGTACAGACGTGAATTAAATTATGTACCTGTTTTATGTACCAATGACTACTTAATAAATGATTATAAAAGAAATGAGAACCTTACCCTTCTAAATGTTGATTACCACAATAATTCAAATACATAGAATCCTCCATTTTTCCTATTCAGAAGATGATTATGTAGCTGTGTTATGCACCAATGACTACTTAAATGATTATAACAGAAATGAAAATATGAATATATACGTAATCAATCGATTTTAATTTTTCATTTTACCAATTATTTCTCAATGACAAAATATATTATTTAAGTATTCGGTATTCGGCCGAATAATATGTAGATATTCGGTATTCGGCCGAATATAATAAAAGCAGCCGAATAGGCCGAATACCGAATAGTAACCGAATATTCGTTGCAAGTCTACCATAAAATATTTAAAAAAAAAACATTTACATAGGTTTTTCCTCTGATCATACTGTGTCTCTGTGTCTGTGTGTGTGCTAATAATACGAAACTTTACGATAAACGATAATTACTTTTGTACAGGACAACTTAACCTAGAAACCGACACTAGGCAGGCTATAATCGCAGTCCATTCGTATTAAGAAAATAGTGACGCATCGATCGAGCCCCGGCTCCTGACCATATGACCATAACTTTCGTATGAAACGAAAATTTCTTGGAACTTAGTTGGACAGGGCTTGGTCGATACGCCACTATTTTCTTAACTCGAATGGACACATAGTCCCCAGTAGTTTTAAAACTAGTGCTAAAAATAATAAACGAGTCGCGGATATGCTGTTGCCACGACACACTGCCATAACTTTCTAATTATTTACTATGAATGTAATTATTGTAAACATAATTTATAAAAATAAATAATTGTACACCTGGTTTTGTGTTTCTATTTTATAATACCCTCTGAGGTTGTCCGCTGTGATTATATCCCGTAATTTTCTCCACATAAGCAAGGGGCTTATTGTTTAGCTAAGATCAAGCCGTTTGAGGTAGGATACTGAGTAGGGATGGTTTAAAATCACAATCGCATGTGATAAACTATAGATAGATAGCTAAATACTTTATTTGTACACCATGGTTTTTACAGACATTATTAAGTAATTAACAACAGATGTAAAGTACAAAGGACGGCCTTTTTTGATTAGTGATAGGTAGGTCATTTTGAACTGGTGATAGGTATACAGAAATTAGAGAAATAAATAAGGTCTTAACCTATGAAATATTCATTAAGCATCCTACTAATCTATATTTATACATAAATACTATACATACATACGTTAATATATACATACGCTAATTTCCAACTATTAGATACATAATGCTCATATAGCATAGTCTTGAAGGTGGTTACGGATTGCGCACGTCTGATAGTAACCGGCAAGGCATTCCATAAACGTACAGCTTCTACGGAAAATGATTTCGTGTAGAAATTGGTAGAATGCCTTGGTATTTTCAAGCTCAGGCTTTCAGAGGACCTCGGACATTTCATATGTGTGTAATGAAGGAACTTAAAGCGTTATTTGAGGTAAATAGGAGTTAATGGATTAAACAGTATATTATACAGAAGCGTAAGGAAACTATATGATTTATAAATCATTTCATCCCACCTGTGACTGTTTACAAAACAAATGCTGCCTAATTATTATTATTACGCTAGCGCAAGACTAGCGAAAGGTCTAAATAAAAAAGGTCGTTATTTTTGATAAAAATATTTTTTATTGATTTTAATGCCATTTATCTTTGTCTATGATGAAATCACAATCACATGTGAAATCGCTGTGACCAAGGCCGGCCTCACTTTGGATACAAATTTGTATCGTACGTGAACATACGTTAGTGGACCGAATTAAACGCGCACACTGCATTGCGTTTTTCTCCGTTGAAATGCCAGTAGCGACTGTGAACCATAACCAGTAACATCGTCATAATAAATTTATTTCTACTAGATAACCCTTTGTTGATTCAAAGACTGCGGCAGCGGCGTCGCGATAGCAGTCGTAGAACAGATATATTTAAAAAGGGAGGAAAATGGGGAATTCTATCATATTATCCCGGACTTAAATAACGACCCCGGTCTATTTCATGATTATCTGTGCATGAACAAAGATATGTGATATGTTTTATCACTTTGATGCCATAGACATTTGTATCTGCACACCAATTCAATATTTCTTTCTATATCCATATTGAATGTCGTGCAAACACCTTGAAAAATCTGAGCATGTTGGGATTGAATTCGAGTGTCGGAACTACACGCACGACTAGTTCGCTTAGAGGCTGCGAAACACCGTAGTACTCGGAGAGTCAGGATCGTTCGTGCATGTACGTACGTGTTCGCACGAGTCAAATTCGTACGAAAACGTGTCTAAAGTGAGGCCGACCTTAAACCAATCATTTCATCTAATGAATATGATTTAAAATTAGCAATAATTTAATGTCTAATACTGAGAGCAAATGACCAGATGGGCCAATTGGTGGTAACACCTGCAGCTCAAGAGTCACAAGTGCATTGCTGTGCTATGGAAGCCCAGACTTCACTCAACACCGTTGGTTGGGTTGGCTTAACACCGTTTTTCTGTGAGGCCGCGGTATCAATCCGGTCGAGTCTGGCCCATATGTGTCATAGCATGGCTCTTCAACGGGCAAAAGTTTTACGATGTTTAGTGATTAAAAATAGAATAGTATCACTTTATACAGATAATAACTGAATCAAGGTTGTAATAGAAAACTACTGGAGTGATTATTACATTTTATTGTAAGTATCTACCCACATTGAGTATAATATTGTGGCTGATTAGTTTAAGTAATTACAATATACTAGTATAAACGAAACACCTGTGACCTTTTATTTACAGTGATTATTATGTGAAATTGTTTAAATACAGCTGTATCCTTGAATTTCGAAAATATATTTGTAAACAGTTAAAAGTTAGTTTGTAGTCGATGAATAAGTAACGTTGATGATTATCATACGAAATTTAAAAGTTTGTGAGGTGTATTCACTACGCAAAATAGAGGTATTTACTTTCGGTATATGCAGTAGTTTGTTTTTACATTTTAATTACCTACGAATAACAATAATTAATTGGTGACTGAAAAAAAAGGATGATCATGCAATTTCTAAAAACCCTAAAATACTAAAACCGGTGCTTATAAAATTATTAAATTAAACTATTACTATATTATCAAATCACGTTTAATTACACAAATATTTAAAAATAATGGGTAAACCCGTATAAAATTATTTAGTTTATTTTAGTTTTATTGAAAAAACCAATGGGGTAAAGAGAACAGATCGATGATAACACTGGCCACATTCACCTCGATCGCTATTGGTAACCGTTGTGTCAACAAAAGTTTTTTGTTTACAAATGGCCACTGGTGACAAATTCAAATTTGAAACACGTATTTGTGATATGAAAAGTGTTTTTTTAACGTTAATCTAGTTATATAAGTTGTGTTAATAATGGGAAATTGTTGCGGAAACATTTTCCGACGTCGTAACCAACGTAGACATATTGTACTAATATTGATAGGTCTTGATAACGCGGGAAAAACAAAAACTGTCAATAATCTAGCTGGTGAAAAAGATGATAAGGTTTTGCCGACTGTAGGTTTCAAAGCTGTGAATCTTGTGCATAAAGATACGCCTGTGACTATTTATGATTTAGGCGGCGGGCCCCATTTTCGCCAAATATGGTCACAGTATTATAGCGAAGTGCACGGTGTAATTTTTGTTATCGACTCAAGTGATTTTTCACGGTTGGACGAGTGCAGAGCTGTACTTGAAGAGGTTTTATCACACGACAAAATATCAGGTACTTATGGTTTTTTTTCCTGTTAATACTGTCACGGTAACCATGGTAAATTATAATATTAGGGCTTTGTAAAATCTAACCGAAGTATTCGAGATTTGCCAAACAAAATTGTCAGCTCAAATTTCTACGAATAAAATAAGGATATTGTAGCATTTATAAAATTGCGTTCAATAATCAATGTTACAAAACCCTGTTGTATACCTATGACTTTTCTACCGTAGGTATTTTAATCAATAGAAAAACACGGTTGGCGTGCTTTTCTTCTATTAATAGAAAAAAAACACACTGATACGAACTTACAGAAGGTAAAATAGGGTTATTTACACCCATGGCCGTATAAATAATTCAATCAGGTGGCGATTATACTCACGTTCCTGGCCTTGCGGCAGCACGGTGCCTTACAAACCACATTCTATGCTTCTGTAGAAAACTAAGTCTCGAGTACTCTCAAGTGGCGACGAGAAGCATTGGAAATGTGGTTCACGAAAAAGGAGAATACTTGTCAGTTATCTTTTCTTCATCTATTTTCTCTGTGTAGGCTACGATTTCTTGGTTTTCTTGATGCCATAGTTCAGAGGTTATTTTATATTAAACACACGACCGTAACTACAAAAGAAGAAGAATCTTGAAGAATTAATTCTTGGAATCTCGCTCTCACAAAAAGGGAATCGCCAGCGATTAAATAATTAAGGTCCACACAGCGAATAGGCTCGCGAGGCATTTGCCGCGCAAAGAAACTGTCCTCGTCCGAGCGCGGCTGCCTTGGTATCATCGCGAGACATCACATCATGGTAGAAATATGCAAAATCTCTTTCGCATTTCAAAACAATCTATATCAAAGATTGATATGCTCGCGTGCGCCCAGAGTGCGTGCCGCAAACGACCGAGGCGCCTTTGAGCAAAACAAAAATCGACACTCGATGGCTTGCCCGCGGCGGCGTGCGTGCTTGCCTCGGCCGAGGCACGTCCACGTCGAGACCGAGCAGCCTCACATGGCAAAAGTCTCGCGAGGCTGCTCGCTCTGCGTGGACCTGTTTAATAGCATTGAATAGACGTAGTAAGTGTAGTGTGTCGAAGTACCATTATCATCCTATCGCCACCAAGACTGCACGGATGGCGTAGTGTTTTAAGCGGTCGCCACGCTGCTTCCCACTACGCTGAGTATTGTGGGTTCGATCCCCACATGGGACAACACTTTGTGTGATCCACAAATTGTTGTTCTGAGTCTGAGTGTTCTTTGTGTCCGTCTCATGTATGTTTGTAAAGTCCCCCGCGACATAGGATATATTCCTTGTCTTTAAAAAAGAAACAAAACCACAAAATATAAGTTCTAAGCCAAATCAATACTCGCACAACTAGAGAACTACCCACCATAGATGGTTACGGTCAAGGAACGCGCTAACGTGACTGTATGACCTTGAGCCAAAACCCTCAGAGATCAATAAACCATTGCTCTGGACTTTTAAATCGTATGTAAACAGCTCCAAGAAGTAAGTCAGCTACAGCAACCTTACAGTTAGAGATTTAATAAGAAGGTTGTAAGGAAATATAAATCTGTCGGTTTATGGGGTCCATACAGTCTAGGTTTACTCCATACTTTAGGTAGGAAGCTGTGTCAAGATAAAAAAGGTGTTTTTTAACAGATGTAATACTCTCCTACATTTTTTTTTTTTAAATAGACGAGGTCTAGTGGGTCTCGATCCTGACTGCTGGGCCAGAGGTTGTCAGTTCGATTTCAGGACAATTATCCATAATACTAATGTATTCAGAAATATATAAGCTTCTGGCCGCGGCTCCGCCCGCTTGTATGTCGGTTATCGCGGTAATAATTAGCGCTGAGTACTTAGTTACACGCGGATAATGTCATCATCAATCATCAACAGCCTATACTAGTCCACTGCTGGACATAGGCCTCTCCTCAGAAAGGAGGTTTTGGCCTACTATACCACGCTGGCCAGACGGGTTGGTATAGGGTTTGTTGGGGTGCTGGGCTAGAAAACCTCCTCGTGGTGCACCCTGGAAACGCTGGCGATGGTACTGTTTCCTCCTTGTCCTCTTGGAGGAGAGGATTATCGCCAGCGGCCAATATTCTAGCAGAAGAGGTAGCCGTTCATCGGCTCTCGGGCAAGGCCTGGTCCAGCAGGGTGGGCGTGTCTGCCGGTTGCCCTGCTGGCTCTTCGCTCTTCGGAGCATGGAGGAGGAAACCTCGGTAAAAAACCTGATGGCGGGGCCCTGTAGGGGCCACAGTTTTCTCCGCTGATAGCGGTGGAGAAAGGAGGACGGGCTCGGCGTGTACTCACACTACCACCGAGCAGGCAGGGGGACGTAGTCTCCCTGTCAACCGTCGGCATATCGTAATCCCGAGAAGAGCGCTGTGGTTAAGTCTCGCGGCTCTGATCGGGGACGAGGGTCTTGGCTTAATCGCCCGGACCGCGAGGAAGATAACCTCTCTAAAAAATTCCCCGAATCCCGTGTTCTGGTGCGTGGCCAGGGGATGCATGGCTGATGGGAAGTTCAGTCGCGAGCGCACTCCAAGCCGAGGTACCTGCGGACCCCTCGGTTGGGTTAAAAACTTACGCTTGCCCGGGTAATGGGGGATCTCTGCCCGGGTGGACCTTTAGTTCTCCCCCACTCGTGGGATTTATTATGGAAGATTTTCAAAAACCTAAAAATCCAACCAAACCGATCGGAACCAAGCAACTAACGAAAAAGGCAAGCCTAACGGAAAAGGAAGCACAGCGAAGGAAGGAAAAGCAGAACAGTGGAGCGGATGGGTCGTCCACTGAGGGCGAGATGGTGTCGGGAACGCCTATCTCGATGGGGCTCCCAGAGGTCAGTCTGACTCTGGTCACTGGGAGCCGAAGAGCATCGGATCGGCTGCGTTCCGGATCCGCCGCTTCATCGGATGGCGCGGAGGCCATGGAAGCGGAGCGGAGCGACAGCCGGAAACGCGGACGCTCAGGGGACGTGGAAACCGACACGTCCGGCGAAATGATGCCACCAAAGGTGGCAAGCAGCCGCCGAGGGAGGGCGCGCAAACCGGCCTCGGTCGCGATCCCGTCAGGCTCCGCGTTCTCCAACGCGGAGTCGTACAGGAACGTACGGGTGGACGGCGAGACCGTAGCGGAGGAGGAGATCGCGGATCTCCTGCTCAAGGTTCGGGAGCCGGTGGGGGGAAATGCCCCCCAGGCTCCCGTGTCCGTGCAGGAGAGGGCGAAAGCGGCGGTGGCCGTCATCGAAAAGGTGGCCACCAAATCCGTGAACCTTAAGGGCTCGTTTGTGAGGGCCCCTAAGGACTCCTCCTCCGCTTTGTCGGAGGTCGTGGAGGGCCTAGCGGGCGACGTCTCTCGCCTGCAGGTGGCCAACGAGAAGCTGACGGAGCGGGTGAACGAGCTGAGCGCTCAGTTCGCCCGCTTCCAGGCGAACCTCCCCGAGCGGGAAGCCCCGTCCGCGTCCCAGCCTGCCCCTACCACCAACTCAGGGGCATTTGACTCCCAACTGCGAGAAATCCTCATCGCAGTTGGGAATATGCTGGACGGACGCCTGGCTGGCCTGGAGGCGAGACTGCCCCCTGCGCCGATTATGCGCCCCCCGCTCGCGTCGGCACAGCGGCCTAAGGCCGCCGCTCCGACCGCGCTCCCCGTAGTGGGAGGCCGCGTCTCCTACGCGGCGGCGGCGTCTGCCCCGACTCCATCGGCTCCCCAAAAGCCGAGGAGGGGGGCCAAGGCGCCGGCCCAGGCGCCGGCCAAGGCACCGTCCCAGGCGCCGGCCAAGGCGCAGGCCAAAGTGCCGGCCAAGACGGGGCCTAAAACGGCGCCGAGGAGCGGAGTGGCATTCCCTCCGCTCCCCACTCCGACACCCCTGCCGGGCCCCTCCGCACCTGCCCCCTCCAACGAGGGCTGGCAGGAGGCGAGGGGCTCCAAGAAGTCCCGAAGGCGGGCCAGAAAGGCTGCCCAAAAAGCAGCCCAAGCCCAGCCTTCGCCACCGGTGGCAACGGCCTCTGCAAAGAGGCCGCGGAAGCTGCAGCCGCCCAAAACCGCGGCGGTAGTGGTGACCGTGTCCCCGGAGGCGGCTGACGGCGGGCTGTCCTACGCGGCCGTGTTTAAAAAGGCCCGGGACAGCCTCGCCAACGACTTTGGGACGTTGGGGGTGAAGATGCGCCTCGCCCAAACGGGAGCTCGAGTTCTCGAGTTCCCAGGGGCTGAAGGCGCCAAGACGGCGGACACTTTCGCTGAGAGGCTGCGGGGTTTATTCGCGACCACAGATGGTGTCAAGATCGCCAGGCCTACCAAGTGCGCGGAGCTGCGCATCTCGGGCCTGGACGACTCTGTGACGGCCGAAGATGTCCGCGCTGTAATCCGGGAGAAGACGGGGTGCAGCGCGGACAACGTCAGGGTCGGCACCATCCGCCCCGGTCCAGGAGGGCTTGGCGCCGTGTGGGTCAGCTGTCCCGTAGCGTCGGCCAAAGTATTGGCCGACGCCGGCAGGCTGCTCATCGGTTTCGTGAGCGCCAGGATCACAGTCCTGGCGGCGAGACCGATGAGGTGTTTTAAATGCCTGGCCACGGGACACACGCGCGTCAAGTGCGACAGTTGTTTTGACTGCGGCGGACTGTGTTTCCGCTGCGGTCAACCGGGGCATAAGGCAGAATGCTCTGCCGCCCCTCACTGCCCAGTGTGTGCGGCGGGCAATAAGCCCGCCAATCACCAGATGGGGCAGAGAGGCTGCAAGCCTCCCCGCAGTTCTCGGCAGACGTCGGGGGTTAGCCAGTCGACCCAGGCTGCCTCCGATATAGTTCGTGCGTCGACGTCGTCGCCCATGGAGGAGGTTGTAGAGACGATCCAGTAATGGATCAAGTCTCCAACCTCCTGGTCCAGACGAACCTGAACCACTGTGCCGCGGCGCAGGATCTCTTCCTGCAAACCATGGCACAGTGGTCGATAGGTGTTGCCGTAGTCGCGGAGCCCTATTCTGTTCCTCCCCGTCCAAACTGGATGGGTGACTGGGACGGCTCCGTGGCAGTCGTCGGTTCCACGACGGCTCATTCCCCGCCCTTGTCGCTAAGAGACAAGGGCACTGGATATGTTGCCGTCGAGTGGGGGGGATCACCATATATGGTGTCTATTTCTCCCCCAACCGGAGTTTGAACGACTTCGAGGTTTTCCTGACCAGCTTGGAGACCTCGATACGGCGACTAGCGTCTGGGCACGTCCTTGTGCTGGGGGACTTCAACGCAAAGTCCATTGCGTGGGGTTCCCCCAGGACGGACGCCAGGGGCGAGGCCGTAGAGGAGTGGGCGGCCTCGGTGGGCCTCTGTCTTCTAAACAGAGGCTCCACCAACACGTGCGTGCGACAGCAGGGGGGGTCGATAGTGGACCTCTCGTTCGCTATCCCTGCCCTCGCCGCACGAGTAAGGAACTGGCGTGTCCTGGAAGAGGTTGAGACGCTCTCGGATCACCTGTATATCCGATTTGAGCTCTCCCGGACCCAGGACTCCAGTAGGGGTCACGTGGCGCGGCGTTTATCCCGCTTTCCGCGGTGGGCTGTTGCCAGGCTGAACCGGGACCTACTAGAGGAGGCAGCCATAATTCACTCGTGGCTGTCTCCTCAGGCTCCGACCGAGGAGGTCGACGTGGGGGCTGGCCGCTTTCGCGATGCGATTACGCATGTATGCGATGCGGCCATGCCCCGCGTTCGAGGTCGTCGGCCTCCAAGGAAGGAGGTCTACTGGTGGTCCCAGGAGCTGGCGGACCTCCGTGCGGCCTGTACACGTGCCCGGAGGTCCTACACGCGCAGTCGGCGGCGTCACCGTGGAGACGGTGAGGAGGACCGGCTTCATGAGGAGTACCGACGGGCGCGGAAAACTCTGAAGCTGGCCATTAGCCGCGCCAAAGAAGAAAAAAGACAGGAGATGCTGGAGGGTCTTAATCGTGACCCCTGGGGTCGCCCTTACCGCGCGGTGCGACAAAAGCTCCGCGCGTCGGGCCCCCCCCTTACGGAGACTCTCCAGCCCAGCTTCCTGCGAGAAGTGGTTGAGGGCCTTTTCCCACAACGGGCGGAACACACTCCCCCGTCGATGGCCTCCTTGGCCGGAGACGACGGGGAGCACGGGGAGGATAATGTCCCGCCCGTCCGGGAATCGGAGGTAGGGGCGGCTGTTCTACGGATCCGTTCCAAGAACACCGCCCCTGGGCCAGACGGGGTACCGGCCCGAGTGCTGGCCCTGGCCCTCAACCACATGGCAGACCGCCTCGGGGAGGTGTTCGACGCTAGCTTGGCGTCGGGACGCTTCCCTGAGTGCTGGAAGAGCGGGAAGCTGGTCCTATTGAGGAAGCCGGGACGGCCTGCCGATTCGGTCGCGGCCTATAGGCCCATCGTGCTGCTGGACGAGGCGGGCAAATTGTTTGAGAGGGTTCTTTCTGCCCGCATCGTCCGGCACCTCTGCGAGGTGGGCCCCGATCTGTCGGACGCCCAATTTGGTTTTCGGGCGGGGCGTTCGACGGTCGACGCCGTGTTGCGCCTGAGGGCCGTGACCGAAGAGGCCGTGAGCTGTGGCGGCGTGCTGTTGGCGGTGTCACTGGACATCGCCAACGCATTCAATAGTCTGCCATTCAGCTGCATCAGGGAAGCACTCCACTATCATGGGGTGCCAAAGTACCTGAGGCGGCTGGTGGCAGACTATTTAGAGGAGCGTACCGTCGTGTACGAGGACCGAGAAGGTAATCTGAGGTGTCGGCCCATGTCGTGCGGTGTTCCACAGGGGTCTGTTCTTGGACCCCTCTTGTGGAACATAGGGTACGACTGGGCCCTTCGCGCCGATTTCCCCCCCGGGCTGGGTGTAATCTGTTACGCAGACGATACCCTCGTGACAGCCCGGGGGGCAAACTTCCAAGAGGCGGCGCGCCTGGCCACAGGGGGAGTCTCCCTGGTGGTCGGGCGCATTGAGGCGCTGGGCTTACGGGTGGCCCTAGATAAGACGGAGGCCCTGTTATTCCATGGGCCCCGTCGTGGTCCACCCCCTGGCGCCTCCATCGTGGTCAACTCGGTCCTCGTACCGGTTTGGGCCCAGATGAAATATCTGGGCCTGATCCTCGACGGGAGGTGGCTCTTCGACGAGCACTTCCGACAGCTTGCTCCAAAGCTGGTCGGCGCTGCGTCTGCCCTAGGGCGACTCTTGCCCAATATGGGTGGACCCAGCGTCGCGACAAGACGGCTGTACACGGGGGTTGTCCGGTCAATGGCACTGTACGGTGCACCGGTGTGGGCGGCGGCTCTGACCGCCCAGAATAGGGTACGCCTCTGGCGCTCTCAGAGGGTAATGGCGGTCAGAGCCATACGCGGTTACCGCACCGTTTCGACGGAGGTGGCATGCGCATTGGCCGGAACTCCCCCGTGGGATTTGGAGGCGGAAGTGCTCGCCGAAGTTTATCGGCGAGTGGCTGACTTCCGGGCGGAGAGCGGATTTCGCCCTCCGCCCGAGGATGTGCGCGAGTGGCGCGAAGCCGCTCGCCGAGCCACGATGGCTCGTTGGTCGTTCCGGCTGGAGACTCCACGCGCTGGCTTTGCCGCCGTGGAGGCTCTCCAGCCGGTCATCGCCGAGTGGGCAGGGCGGCAGCACGGGACCCTTTCCTTCCGGCTGACGCAGGTGCTTTCCGGGCATGGTTGCTTCGGAAAGTACCTGCACACGGTCGCTAGGAGGGAACTGAGTCCCGCCTGCCACCACTGCGACTGCAGTGAGGACTCGGCCCAGCACACGCTGGCGGTCTGCCCCGCATGGGCGGCGCAGCGCCGGGCCCTCACTGCAGTCATCGGAGTGGATCTCTCGCTACCGGCCGTAGTACGCTCCATGGCCGGTAGCGACAGTTGTTTTACCGCGGTCGCAACCTTCTGCGAGGTAGTAATCTCGCGGAAGGAGGCGGCGGAGAGGGCCCGGGAGGACGACCTCCACTCGGACCCGATCCGCCGCCGGCGAACCGGGCGGCGGAGGCCCGCCTACCACAGCCTCATGCCGCCCTGAGTGTGGCCGCGGGTGGACGGGGTGGGTTTCCCCTCCACCCGCATTAGTTGGCCAGCCGCGAGGGGGCGGCGTCCGCGTGTGCCGGACGTCGCCTATAGAGAGGAACAACACTGAGACGGAGCCCGCACCAGGAGCGGGCTGGCGCTAGGAGGGGTCCGGATGTCTTAACAACAGCTGTTCCCGGATCCCTCCTGTTACAGGCGCAGAGTGGCACACCGTGTGGTTTTAGTCGGTCCGAGTCCGACACACCACCCCGCCGCAAACCCCGGAGGGGTGACGGTCCGAGGGGATTTCCACACGTTAAAAAAAAAAAAAAAAGGGTTTGTTTCAAGTTTTCCTTCTCTTTATAATAATGTAGCGAATAATGTAGCTTTCCATAATTTAAAAAAGCGGTATTATGGTTTAGGCGTGAAAGCGTAACAAACAAACTCACTTTCATATTTATGATAAAATTATGAAAATATGGATGTTTATTTAGAAATATATATGCCCGTTTGACGGTTTGACGTCTCATCATCATCAACAGCCTTTAATAGGACATAGGCCTTTCCTTAGAAAGGAGGTTTTGGCCTACTATACAACTGGCCAGACGAGTTGGTATAGGGTTTGTTTCAAGTTTTCCTTCTCCTTGCAATGCTGTTGACCTGCGTAGTTTGCTCCGTTAATCGGCTTTTACGACACCCACGGGATGAATAACGCTGGTGACACTCTGTATTCTTAATCAGTCCCCACACGAACATATAAATCGACGATATTCCCTACGCGTTACGAATCTTTCCATTTCCAGATCTTAAAAAAATGCTCTGAATCCCTATCTGATTTTAGTACGGCGTAAACAGAACTAATATTAAAAATATTACTGCAATATACTGATAAAAGTAATTTTAATTAAATTGCTTATCAGCGTGGCATTACCGGATAAAATCCTTCGTTGGATCAATTTTTTTTTCGGTCTACGTACTTACGTCAACTGCTAAAACTGTTGTAAATTTTCAATAATTTGTGTCTATAATCATAACTTCAGACATCTCACACACGGCTCACTGGTCCCAAAGTAAGCACACCCGGTGCTATGGTATTCAAACTGCTGATAAATATACTTATAAATTTCTAAATATATATATATTATAAAATAAATTACACCCAGACACAGAACAAATGATCTTGCTCATGAAACAATTATATTTGTCCTGGGTGGGAATTAAAGCCTCGACCTCCGGCGTAGCAGTCAGGGTCACTAACCACAAGACCAACATTACAGTCAAATTTGTTAGTTACATTACCCATCAACAGCCTTTGTCGGCCAGCTTATGGTTTGTGTCAAGTTTTCCTTCTCTTTGCAGCACTGTTATCCGTAGTCTATTGTATAATATGTTTTCGCACTATTCTCGTTGGGGTAGGCAGAGAGTACAGAGCGCCATATACCACGATCCTGACGTACAGATTTATCAGACCTTACATGCACGCTTACCAGTTACGGGCTCTTATCTTCAATATACTTAAGATATGACATGTCTTAAAGGTATTAAAGGTATAAAAGTAGACACCAAAATAGATTTACTGGAGTATTTTTAATAATGAACTTTCTAGGCTCAACTTTAATAAAAGTAGGTAAGTACACCAACTTCAAAGCGCATGTATCATGACGATTTGTAATAAACTGTGTTTAACCTTTTTTTAGTATTCCGCTCTTGTGAGAGGTATATTTGTCAAATTTCAATAGGACCAAAATGGAAAGTGCACTGCCAAGTAAGGAAAGAATTTTCGCAATCCGCTCAAAATAACGTAGTTCTAATATAATAAACATTAAAAGTGCGACCATTACTTTTAAATCAAAATAAATAATATCTATTTAATTTCTTGTTTTATCTGTTCGCTTTTTATTTATGAACTATTGTTTTATACTGTATTCATAACTATACTTTTTTGAAAATTTTGTATCGATCGAGACTAACCCTTAGCATTCGTTACAAACCTTCGTGGCTTAGGAAATGCTATGTATATTAAAATTATCTCATTAATATGTTTACACTTTGAAAGAATAATAAAAAAAAAACCAACCGAATTGAGAACCTACTTTTTGTCTATAAAATCGTTTAGAATCTCAAGACTTCTAAAACTACCCCCACATTAATTGCTAGAATTGTTGTTATAACAAAGAATCACTAACCTGGTGACCTCGAGTCACAGTCGTCTATGAATCATTGGTTCAATCACAAATTTCTATAGTGTTGTGAAATATTCTTGGAATTATGAGTCAGTCGTCGGCTTCTTCTAAAATCGATATTTTATCACGTCAGTGATGTGTTTAAACACATCGTAAATATGCGGGTTATAAAAATATGTTAAGAAGCAGCATGGTAATGACTTACATAAGTTAAGAAAATTGCGACGCATCGACGAATCAGGTTCCAAGAAATTATCGTTTCATACGAAAGCTTGGATCCTCATTGGTCAGAGTGCGGCGCTTTGCGTCACTATTTTCTCACCGCGAATGGGCTATAGTCATCTGCAAAGACTAGGTCAGTAAACTGGGGAAAAACTCTAACAGTCTCTTTCCTACATCGATAATCTTATTCAGCTAAATATTAAAGTGAAGTGTTGTTCTGCTAGGTAAACCTATACTGGTCCTGGCCAATAAACAAGATAAGACAGGAGCTTTGGATGACATCGACGTTGTTGAAAAATTAAATATCGAGCCGTTAGTTAATAAGTGAGTATGAATTCACCTTTATTTATTGGCCAAGCTTTTTAGCCATTCAGATATGCATTTAGGTAGAAGGCTTCCCGTCAATTTTCATGCGTGCTTGTCAGGACGTTTAACACGAATACCCAGCGCCAGACGCTATTACTAGACTATTAATTTCGTAGCATTGTAAAAGACCTAGATAGATTTTTAATGCAGGGCTGCCAGTGGATACACCGCTGGCTACTTTTCCCCGCAAAATAAAAAGTTATGTAAAAGTTTGCCCCCTATACAGGTATCAATTTCCCATAAATTTGAAAGAAAAGTTGGATATTTTATTTTAAAAAATAAATTAAAGTGAAGGTATCACTTTATGAGCAATACACACATGGGAATATATCCACTACGCAGTATGATCTTTACCTTACTGTTTCAGATATCGTTGTCCAACACTAGTGGAATCCTACAGCGCATTTACAATAAACCCCAAAACTAAAAAACTTAAAATTGATCCGGGACTCCGCAAAGGATACCATTGGTTACTAAACTATATTGTGCGACGCTATGGAGACATCAATTTACGCGTACAGACAGACATCCACGCCGAGCTTGAAAGACGCAAACGGATGCAAAATAAAGCATCCAACACTACATTACAGACTTTCACAGCTGTGAGTGACGAAATCGCCACCCAAACTGGATTCGAAAATCCGAATTACGATCTCGATAAATCGACTAAAATCGACAGCGATGACTTGCATACGGACGGACTGATAATCGTTAAACCTATATCGCATAACCCTAATAGCATCGACTCGACTATTACAATCGAGAGTGTTGAGGATTCCGATGGTGTCAGTACTGCCAAGCCAAAATTATCGCCACTGTTTGGTAGGGCCAGTAATTCTACTGTTGAAACGGTGAGGATAGAGTTGGAACCGAGGAGTGAGTTCAGGAAATTGTCGCCAATTGTAAGGAACAAGAGTTCAGCGAATCAGCACATTGATTTCAAGAATAGACCTCAGTCGAGTCCCACTTTTAGAAAGAAAAAGGTAAATAGTTTGACTATATAATATATGGTGTAAGGAACGATGTGACGAATACAGAAATAGTGAAGTTTTCAGACCATCATTCTGAGTCGAAAATCATTGGAATTATTATTGGATTCAATTAATCATATTTTTGTATAATTTGTGTTTTTTTGGTTAAAAATGATTCATAATGAGTCAACAGAATTTTTTATCGCGGCTTTGATTTTCATAGATGACACAACGTTTGTGGATCCACCGTGGTTAAAAAAAACCATGATAGTGTAGTATCAATAATAAATCGATATTCGGTAAAATGTTCTGTTTACTCTTTGTGATATAATTTTTAACCAAAAAATGATCAAATTTCCGGCAGAAAATTTCAATGATTTTCGAAACAGAGTTATAGTCTGATATTTCAGTATTCATTACACCGTTCCTTATACCCTGTATATAGACTAGATTTTATTTCAGGTACCACGGGTAAAGGTCTATTACCTATCAGTCTTGAAATATGTTATTTCACTTAAATTCCTAATAATTTCACTTCAAATACTAAACTATGTTCGTTATATTTCCCTTAGCTGGGCCCATCATTGTCTAGTCAAAACTCGTCACTCCAAGACGAGGAAATGAAGCCGGACGGCGATTTGCCCTACATTGGTGACAGGAACCTGACCTGGGACGTTGCCGATAAGAAGGAAACTGTGCTTATCAACGCTGCCGAGCTGTCGCAGATGCATAGGGAAATTGTGCTGAATGAGAGAGGTGAGAGAATATTGTTCAGTCGATGATAAAATAATTTATTTTGCGAATAGATATTTTCAGATACACGTAGATTTATTACTTAAAGCTAGCTGCCAGGATTCCCTAAGAAAATACGTAAAAAAACAAACATAAAGATCCAAACAAACTTAAAGGTCTATATAAACTTAAACTCAATAAGTGCCATGAAGTCTCCAGCAGCAGCAGCTCCAATGGCAGCTTTCGGATGAAAAACCACCCAAGTTTCCCCTTTAAGTTTTGGAGAACTGACATGCTGTACCAGTCTATCGTGGGATAGACATAGAGTGGACTGGAGTAATACCTCAGCCTCACTGTAAACCGGTGTCGAACAATTCTTTTGTTACATTTGACCGAGTTTTTACCAAGAGTTTACCAGAGGGTAATCATCACACCTTCCCCTAAAATACTGCCTGTTAAGTTCTTCCGTCGCGGTCTTAGGGTTACAAACATTGAATGTTGCCAGACTACAACAACAAGACGGCGTGTTCTGAGGTGACGCTGCAGGCAGCGACCCTGCCACTAAGCCCGCGGCCCGCCTCCGCCTCGCAGCTGGTGCGGAGGCAGCTCGAGTTGTGTTCTCAACACAAACGCCGCCTCAGCCTCAGATGTGAGTAACTCAGAATGACCTGTTATCGTATTATACACCCGTATTTTGTCAATTTGGTTCCAGTCGCGAAATATGGACTAAGGCTGTTGCCGTCAAACTGGCACTTGAGCCACATATGGCGATAGTGTAAATAAAATTAGTTAAATGGGGGTAGTTACGAAATATAGTTATGAACTCGTTATTGCTAGAAAGTTTAGGTCTAAATAAATTGTACATCAATATAAATCTTTACATAGTATACAATGAAGTCGCTTTTTTTTGTACGCTTAGATCTTTCAAACTAAGCAACGTATTTTAACACGGTTTTGACCAATAGAGAGAGTGATTCAAGAGGCGGGTTTATTGTATAATACATGCATATTATAGTAGAGGAAATCCGAGAATTTCAAAGGTTTGTAATGTGAAGTAGTGAAAAACATGTTTTGTGCGCATACATTGCAAAACGCTGGCTAAACCTTGCGAGGTAGATCAAAATAATATAGACGGAATTGTATATCTTAAAAAGATCTACAAAAAAGTCCGCGATTATATAATTATAACTATCCCCTAAGGATAACCCATAGTAACCATTTTAATCTTTTGAATTTAACAGAAAATAATGGGTAATTTACGAAGCTATTTTAAACCATGCAGTATTATTCGCTATCCAAATACGAGGCATTTAATGTAGATCAACATTGCCTTTTAAAGCATATCATTAAAATGAATATCTTAGTAGATATCAGAGATTTAAAATGCCGGAGCAAAGCGGCCGTCGCTGCGTCTGGCCGTTTGTCCCGAGTGGCAGCGGCCTGCAGGAGCGGAGTGGAGCGGCAATATAAATATGTCCTGTAGTTATAGTCTTATCATAATAATAGTATAATTAATAACTGTACACTGACATAACATTAGTAGTATTAGTAGTATCTACATTGCACCCGTGCAAATCCGGGGTGGATCGCTAGTAAGTAGGTTAATGTGAAACTCACATGACTAGCCTGTGTCTTTTCGTAAAAATGCTTTATAATTTACTTTATTTCCTAACGATCCAGACGAAAAAAATATTATAAACCTAGTAATCCATCGTATTAGGAGACATTGAGTGCCTAGTTCAGGAGGTGTTAATAGCAAGGCCAACTACGTTTTAGGACTCCTAGGTTTTAGGACAGTATTGACTAAAGGGTAATTTCTGGCTTATTTGGCCTCCTGGAACGGTCGTTTTAATATTCTTTGGCACCTCAAATAAAGCACCTCATAAAGAAGTACTAACTTTATTGTTTCGAAATATATAAAATGAAAGAGTGTCTAAGACTCCACTATCTGAGTGGCCAGCGATTGTGATCAGGGCCTCAATTCTGCTATTTTATATTCACGCCAAGGTTTACTTCGGCATTCAAAGAGTAAAAATTAACTTTCAAGATTGAAACCAACCATGAAAACGGGGTTAAAAAATTACAGACGAGATTTACAATTTAAAATCCACATGCCATACTGGACCAGTTTTTATCCGTTGTTTGTTTCCAGACATGCAACGCAACAAGACAAGTCCCGAGCGCGTTTCCATGCTGATCTACGAGCCGAAGGCGCCCCAGCGTCACCTCGACAAGGGAGACTTCTCACATTCAGCCACCATCAACTGATTATGGTAATGCCCACAATGTTCCACTTTACATTTTACACGGGATACAATAAATCTTACATTTAAAAATTCCTTTCCCGCCAGCTACATACCGTCTCTGGGGATAGGGGGAAACAATAATTTGGCGGAGGAAGCAGTCTCCCGGGGCGAAGTGGTGTTGGCGGTGTCCTTGGACATCGCCAACGCGTTCAACACTATGCCCTGGAGCTGCATCAGGGAGGCGCTCGTGTATCACGAAGTGCCTCTCTACCTCCGCCGCATAGTCGGGGCATATTTGTCGGAGAGAGCAGTCGTCTACCCCAGTAGGACCGGTCTCGATGTCGTGCGGTGTTCCGCAGGGGTCGGTGTTAGGGCCACTCTTGTGGAACATCGGCTACGACTGAGTGCTTCGTGGTGCCTTCTTGGATGGTGTCACCGTCGTGTGCTACGCGGACGACACACTCGTGACGGCGCGCGGCAAGACGCACCACGAGGCAACCCTGAGGGCCACGGCCGGGGTTGCCCAAGTCGTTGAGCGTATCCGGCGGCTGGGTCTCGAGGTGGCTCTGCACAAGTCCGAGGCCCTGTTCTTCCACGGGCTTCGGAGGAAGCCGCCTGAGGGATCTAGCCTCACGGCCTACCGTGAGCCTCCTAAGGCACTCGGATCGGCATCGAGCCCTCGATCAGGTATCTGGGGCTCGTACTCGATGGCCGGTGGGACTTCGGATATCATTTCCGAGGTCTGGTCCCCAAGTTGGTTGGGGCAGCGCGTGCGTTTGCGCGGCTGCTGCCCAACATGAAGGGACCCGATGACTCCTGCAGGAGACTCTACTCGGGGGTTGTGCGGTCCATGGCCCTTTACGGGTGCCCAGTATGGGCGGGGGCCCTGAAGGCCAGCCACGTCGCGATACTGCGACGACCGCAGCGAGTGCTGGCCATCAGGATCTTAAGGGGGTACCGCACGATCTCCTTTGAGGCGGCGAGTCTCCTGGCCGGAACTCCACCGTGGGACCTGGAGGCGAGAGCCCTTGCGGCTCTGTATCAGTGGCGCAAGGAGGCGCGGGAGTTGGGTCGATGCCCCGAGATTCGAGAAATCGATGACCGGAAATCCCAACTCCGCCAGGTCATCATAGGGGAGAGGAGGGAACGACTCGGGCAACCGAGCGCCGGGCACGCCGTCATCGCGGCGGTAAGACCTGTTATGGAGGATTGGCTCGAGAGGCGTCACGGGACCCTCTCATACCGACTGACGCAGGTGATCACTGGGAAAGGATGTTTCGGGGATCACCTGTGTCTGATCCGCAAGGAGCCAACGCCTGAGTGCCACCACTGCGATGGCCAGACCGTGGACACGGCTCTCCACACGCTGGCAGAGTGCCCGGCGTGGGTTGAGCAGAGGCGAGACCTCGTGGCGGCCATCGGAGTGGGAGTTCTCTCGCTCGATAGCCTGATTGCGGCTATCGTGCGGAGCGAGAGTGCGTGGAACTCTGCCGTCTCCTTCTGCGAGCAAGTTATGCTCGCGAAGGAGACGGAGGAGCGAGACCGGGAGAGGTTTAGGACTCTCCCGGCCCGCCAGGCCCGACAACGGGCCAGGTACCGCAGGCGACTCAGGCGCCGGAGGTCGCAGAACGACCTCCGTCCTCCATAAGCGCAGGCCTGGGGGTGACAGGTGAGGCCATCTGTCACCCTAGCAGAAGCAGGCCGGGGTGGCGGCAAGCGCGTTGCGAAGCGCGCTCGCTTCCAGGGAGCACCGGGAACATGGGGTTCCCACACGGGGGGGGGGGTCGTCTACTCGTCTGTAGATGACCCGAGGTATGTCGGGGTACCAGGGACTTCCTTTCTAGGGTATACCTGGTTCCCCGGCTATTAGTACCCGAGACGGCGTGCGTTTTTAGTCGGTTCGAGTCCGACATGCCACCGACAGGTGGTATCCGAGGGGATTTCCGCACGGAAAAAAAAAAAAAAAAAAAAAAAAAAAAGGGAAACAATAATAAAATTGGGGTAGTAAGATAAACAGTATTTCCAAGCCTTACCGGTTTTATCTAATAGCTTATAAATCATCATCATAATCAACAGCTTTTAATAGTCCACTGCTGGACATAGGCCTCTCCTTAGAAAGGTTTTGGCCTACTACACCACGCTGGTCAGACGGGTTGGTATAGGGTTTGCTTCCAACCCTACGAGGGCGTCTCCCCCCCGGGCTGGGTGTAATCTGCTACGCGGATGACACTTTAGTCACGGCCCGGGGGGCTAACTTCCAGGAGGCGGCGCGCCTGGCCGCCACGGGAGTTTCCCAGGTGGTCGGGCGCATTGAGGCGTTGGGTTTGCGGGTGGCCCTGGATAAGACGGAGGCCCTATTATTTCATGGGCCCCGTCGTGGTCCACCCGCCGGCGCCTCAATCGAGGTCGGCTCGGTCCTCGTACCGGTCCGGGCCCAGATGAGGTACCTGGGTCTGGTCCTAGACGGTAGGTGGCTCTTCGACGAGCACTTCCGACAGCTTGGTCCGAAGCTGGTGGACACTGCCTCCGCCCTAGGGCGACTTTTGCCCAATTTGGGCGGGGCCAGTGTTCCCACGAGGCGGCTGTACGCGGGGGTTGTCCGGTCCATGGCGCTTTATGGTGCACCGGTGTGGGTGGCGGCTCTGACCGCCCCGAATAGGGCGCGCCTCTGGCGCCCCCAGAGGATATTGGCGGTCAGAGCCATACGCGGATACCGCACGGTGTCCACCGAGGCGGCTTGCGCCTTGGCCGGAACACCCCCGTGGGATTTGGAGGCGGAAGTGCTCGCCGAAGTTTATCGGCGAGTGGCTGACTTCCGGGCGGAGAGCGGATTTCGCCCTCCGCCCGAAGACGTGCGCGAGTGGCGCGAAGCCGCTCGCCGAGCCACTATGGTGAGATGGTCGTTCCGGCTGGAGACTCCACGCGCTGGCTTCGCTGCCGTGGAGGCTCTCCAGCCGGTCATCGCCGAGTGGGCAGGGCGGCAGCACGGGACCCTTTCCTTCCGGCTGACGCAGGTGCTTTCCGGGCACGGTTGCTTCGGAAAGTACCTGTACTCGGTCGCTAGGAGGGAATCGAGTCCCGCCTGCCACCACTGCGACTGCGGTGAGGATTCGGCCCAGCACACGCTGGCGGTTTGCCCCGCATGGGCGACGCAGCGCCGGGCCCTCACTGCAGTCATCGGAGCAGATCTCTCGCTACCGGCCGTAATTCGCTCCATGGCCGGTAGCGACGGTTGTTTTACCGCGGTCGCAACCTTCTGCGAGGAGGTAATCTCGCAGAAGGAGGCGGCGGAGAAGGCCCGGGAGGACGACCTCCATTCGGACCTGATCCGCCGCCGGCGAACCGGGCGGCGGAGGCGCGCTCACCTGCGCCTCATGCCGCCCTGAGTGTGGCCGCGGGTGGACGGGATGGGTTCTCCCCTCCACCCGCATTAGTTGGCCAGCCGCGAGGGGGCGGCGTCCGCGTGTGCCGGATGCCGCCTAAAGAGAGGGTCCACTGAGACGGAGCCCGCGTCAGGAGCGGGCCGGCGCTGGGAGGGGTCCAGAAGGAGATAGCTACCTGGACCCTTCCTAAACTGGAAGCGCAAAGAGGGCACACCGTGTGGTTTTAGTCGGTTCGAGTCCGACACACCGCCCCGCCGAACGAGAGCCCCGGCGGGGTGACGGTCCGAGGGGATTTCCACACGTAAAATAAAAAAAAAAAATAAAAAAAATAAAAAAAAAAAAAAAAAAAAAAAAAAAGGGTTTGCTTCCAAGAGGCGGCGCGCCTGGCCACAGGGGGAGTCTCCCTGGTGGTCGGGCGCATTGAGGCGCTGGGCTTACGGGTGGCCCTAGATAAGACGGAGGCCCTGTTATTTCATGGGCCCGTCGTGGTCCACCCCCTGGCGCCTCAATCGTGGTCAACTCGGTCCCCGTACCGGTTCGGGCCCAGATGAAATATCTGGGCCTGATCCTCGACGGGAGGTGGCTCTTCGACGAGCACTTCCGACAGCTTGCTCCAAAGCTGGTCGGCGCTGCGTCTGCCCTAGGGCGACTTTTGCCCAATATGGGTGGACCCAGCGTCGCGACAAGACGGCTGTACACGGGGGTTGTCCGGTCAATGGCACTGTACGGTGCACCGGTGTGGGCGGCGGCTCTGACCGCCCAGAATAGGGTACGCCTCTGGCGCCCTCAGAGGGTAATGGCGGTCAGAGCCATACGCGGTTACCGCACCGTTTCGACGGAGGTGGCATGCGCGTTGGCCGGAACTCCCCCGTGGGATTTGGAGGCGGAAGTGCTCGCCGAAGTTTATCGGCGAGTGGCTGACTCCCGGGCGGAGAGCGGATTTCGCCCTCCGCCCGAGGATGTGCGCGAGTGGCGCGAAGCCGCTCGCCGAGCCACGATGGCTCGTTGGTCGTTCCGGCTGGAGACTCCACGCGCTGGCTTCGCCGTCGTGGAGGCTCTCCAGCCGGTCATCGCCGAGTGGGCAGGGCGGCAGCACGGGACCCTTTCCTTCCGGCTGACGCAGGTGCTTTCCGGGCACGGTTGCTTCGGAAAGTACCTGCACTCGGTCGCTAGGAGGGAACTGAGTCCCGCCTGCCACCACTGCGACTGCAGTGAGGACTCGGCCCAGCACACGCTGGCGGTCTGCCCCGCATGGGCGGCGCAGCGCCGGGCCCTCACTGCAGTCATCGGAGTGGATCTCTCGCTACCGGCCGTAGTACGCTCCATGGCCGTTAGCGACAGTTGTTTTACCGCGGTCGCAACCTTCTGCGAGGTAGTAATCTCGCGGAAGGAGGCGGCGGATAGGGCCCGGGAGGACGACCTCCACTCGGACCCAATCCGCCGCCGGCGAACCGGGCGGCTGAGGCCCGCCTATCACCGCCTCATGCCGCCCTGAGTGTGGCCGCGGGTGGACGGGGTGGGTTTCCCCTCCACCCGCATTAGTTTGGCCAGCCGCGAGGGGGCGGCGTCCGCGTGTGCCGGACGTCGCCTAAAGAGAGGAAAAAATATTGAGACGGAGCCCGCACCAGGAGCGGGCTGGCGCTAGGAGGGGTCCGGATGTCTTAACAACAGCTGTTCCCGGATCCCTCCTGTTACAGGCGCAGAGTGGCACACCGTGTGGTTTTAGTCGGTCCGAGTCCGACACACCACCCCGCCGCAAACCCCGGAGACGTCACCCGGGTGACGGTCCGAGGGGATTTCCACACGTTAAAAAAAAAAAAAAAAGGGTTTGCTTCAAGTTTTCCTTCTCTTCGCAGTGCTGTTGCCGTGCGTAGTTAGCTCTCTTAGTCGTCTCTTACGACACCCAAGGGATGAAAAGGGGTGGTGACATTCCGTATTCTTAATCCGTCCCCACATGGAATAGCTTATAAATATACTCGTTAAATTGTACTTAACTCTATGTTGCGTATGTCCAGAGATCCAGACACGCACTTGCCCGAACTTTAAACTTAGTAAAGAACCAGTAATGTAGCGGGTACTTGCGATTTGGTAATATACTTACAAACTCAAGAAGCCTTCTCTAGTGCAATAGTTATCTTCTTAAAATCTTTTTAGCGAAACATGTTAAACTTCCATCTGTATTTTCCTTTCTAAGGAAAGGCCCATGTCCAGCATTGGACTATTATAGGCTGTTGTTAATAATCGGGGGAAATACTTTCTAAAAACGAATAGACTAAAGAGAAAAGATCTTTGAATCTTTGGTGTTTAGGTAATACCTGAGGGTTCGCACACGTAAATTGGGATGAATACGCATCTCCAAAAAGTATTAATCGTTTAAAAAAACATATTTTTTTGGTGATATTTTGTGCATAACACAATTTAAATCTTAAAAGTTGGTTAAAATGATAATTCCAGTTTCTCGCGCTGGTATCTAAATAATTATTCACTTAAGTGGCTTTTTTTCATTTCAGGATTAAAAGAAATTCGGTGATTCGAATTCGTTACTTCAGAATAATATAATAATAAAAATAATATATAGAATTTATTGTTTACGTAAGCTTATAACCATGTATCGGAATCTTGGGTGCTATTACTATCAAAAGTATGGAGATGACCGAAAATTCCCGGAAATTGGTACTTTGACCAAAAGTTTCCGGGAATTAGAATTTTGAATGATAATGATTCTTGTGCTTCTATACAACTTTTTTTTTCTACATTATTTATAAATTTATGCTTCACGCATAAAAATGTATACTAATAAGTCAGGATTTTTTTAATAAGTAACTGGCAATCGTTTAACAAGTCCATGCGAATAATTTTGCAAAAATCAACAATAACAATAAACAATCTAAAACAACATAATGTTGCTGGGCAAACCCAATATCAGGCCAAACTAGTTTGTTTGAGCCAAACCAGTTTATTCACTAGATTTTCTAGTCTACACTAGAATATCTTGACATGCATAATGTAGGATAAATCAGTTTGGCCTAAAACAAATTTAGTTCGGTACGAAATCGGGTTTGACTTTTGTCAAAGTATTGTGGAGTAGATAAACATCCTATGAAAAACTTTAGGATATCGAAAACTACTAGTATCGGCACGCTATGATGGCTGTTTTGACACATTAAAGTACAACAATTTGACGGAGGTCAATGTAGGCTTGACGAAAACAATGAGGTACAGCAATATGCTCCTTTAACTTATTAATTAATAAGAAACTTGATGAGTCGATAGAGGCCTTTTATTATATCAGGAGCTTTTAGCTTACTAACCAATACGAAAATATTCTTTTACAAAGGACATAGGATTATTTATTTATGCATGTAAATGTAAAATTTTGGTAGGAATATTAATCGATTGTTAAAAGAAAGTAAGATAATTTATCTAATACAGGTCTTTTATTTGATTCCACAAACGTGATTTCCACACATTTTAAATAATATCAAATATTTTTAAACCTTATCATAATTACCGGAATCCCGGGAATATCGTCATATCCATATTAGGATATCGTCTCAAATAGCACCCGAATTCCGATCACTACTTATAACACATAGTTGACACTTGTTAAACAGGGTATGTAGTTTTAAAAACAAGGTGCTCCAAAGTTGGATACGTTACTGCGTTAGCAAGATTCGCCCAAGCCCGCACACCCTAAAGTCATATAGATAGGTGACATGACAGCTGTCAGAAATGACAGCTGTCAAAAGTAAAAGGACCTGTGACGTAAGGCCCAGAGACTTTATGGTGACTAGGTTTAATATAAACATTTTAGTATTATATAAATATGCCCCATAGTATATATATATATATTTAGTTATGATAAAATTTAAATGCATAATATAATGAATAGATTAATTTAGTTTTGTATTTTGTGTACCACAAGATAATAATTATTAATAAAAGTTATGTTATGACGCATGTGTTTCATTAAAATATAGTTTGGCTTGTATTTTGCCCCCTTGTAATTCCGCAGTGCGTTTCCTATTGTAACACCTACACCTGATGGTGTTTGTCCTTAAAATTTCAAAAACATTTTGGATAATGTCTGTTAAACAATATGGTTTTCGCCGTAGTCGCTCAGCTGGTGATCTTCTCGTCTTTCTAACAAACCGGTGGGCACAGGCGATCGAGACCAAAGGAGAGGCTTGTGCGGTTAGTTTTGGACATAGCGAAAGCCTTCGATCGATTCTGGCATAAGGCGCTTCTCTCAAAGCTCCTTCCTTTGGGCTTCAAGAGAAATTGTGTAATTGGGTCACCAGTTTCCTTGCGGACAGAAGCATTAAGCAACGACCTTATTAATAATATTTAATACCGACGGTGCATGCTCCGACTTAAAATTCGTAAATGCTGGTGTCCCGCATGGCTGTGTGCTATCACCCACACTGTTTCTTCTGCATATCAATGACATTTTGCAAACTAGTAGCATCCATTGCTATGCAGATGATAGCACGGGAGATGCCCTTTACACCGGTCGCCCCAATACTTCTCGGGAAAACCTCATCGAGAGTCGAAACAAACTTGTGTCTGAAATTGAAACTTCCTTAGCGGAGGTTTCAGGGGCCGACTAAATCTAGTCCAGATCAATCCAAACAAGACACAGGTCTGTGCGTTCACCGCAAAGAAGATACCATTTGTCGTGTCATCTCGATTTGAGGGCACCTCCCTAACTGGCCAGCAGCCAGCATCGGAATCCTAGGCATCGACATATCCAGTTTCGGGGTCACTTAGAGGTAAGGTAAGGTCAAATTGGCCTCGAAGAAGCTCGGTGTGCTGAACAGATCGAGGAAGTATTTCACTCCAGCCCACCGCCTTCAGCTCTATAAGGCGCAAGTCCGGCGGCATATGGAATACTGTTCTCACTTCTATGCAGGGGCACCTCAGTACCAGCTTCTCCCTCTGGACCGCATCCAACGAAGTCGCTCGACTCGAATCGTCGATAACCCAAACATCTCTGATCGGCTCGATCCCTTGGCGTTACGTAGAGATGTGGCTTCACTCTGCATTCTCTATCGCATATATCATGGAGAGTGCTCCGAGGAATTGTTCGGACTAATACCGGCCGCAACTTTCCGCCATCGTTCCACAAGGCAAAATTTTCATCCTCATCACCTGGATAGTTGGCGCTCCACTACTGTGCACAACCAATCTGTGGAACGGGTTATCGTCTGCGATATTTCCGGACCGATACGACCTTTAAACCTTCAAGAAAAGAGCTTACTCATTCCTACAAGACCGGCAACGCGTTTGCGACTCCTGAGTTGCAGACGTTCATGGGCGGCGATGGTCACTTTCCATCTGGTGACCCGTCTGCTCGTCTGCCCCTATATCTCTCTGCAATTGTTTTTTGGTATCCTACCAATTGATGTAATGTTTGATATGCAATAGAAAGTAATTGTCTGACTGTCCGTGTGGTGACGGATTAAGAATACGAAGTGTCACCATCCCTATTCAGCCCGTGGGTGTCGTAAGAGGCGACTGAGGGAGCAAACTACGCAGGACAACAGCACTGCAGAGAGAAGGAAAACTTGACACAAACCCTATACCAACCCGTCTGGCCAGCGTGGTATAGTAGGCCAAAACCTCCTTTCTAAGGAGAGGCCTATGTCCAGCAGTGGACTAGTAAAGGCTGTTGATGTTGAGTAATTATTCAGTCATCTGTTATTGTTTTTAAATAAAATAAAAAACGCCAATAAAAATAGATAATTGAACATTTATTTTGAGAAAAATAATATTCACCATAAATACAGGTACAATTTCGACACATTATTTACAAAGCTAAATATGATTTATAAATAAATACATTAAAATGCGCGCCAAATAAAATCAACGGCAATATCTATCGAGTTGCCAGTTCATAAAATAAAATTACCTGAATCTCACAAGAACTGTGTCGCCATTTTTTACGGAAAAGAAAGCGAGATCTTTCATAACGTTGTCTAAACATATTTCTGCGCCTTTCATCTGGTCATCTAATAAATATAACGTCGGAGTACCGCTGTGTCCCTTCGAGAACAATCTCTGCGCCAGTGTTACCAACTTTTGAACGAGCATTGAAGATGGGAACTTCTTTTTCAACGATTTGCCACTCTCGTCTTTTAATACTATTTCTAGTAGTTGAGATGTGAGAGTTGTAATTTTCGGTTGAGTCACGAGCAGGCTGTCCTCTGGGATGCCATATTCTAGAAATTAAAAAGTTTATATTATTTTTTGGTTTACTTACAATACACATATAGATCACTGGTGTTGCCTAGTGTTTGTCAGCTTTTACTTGATACTAACTCAATTGAGTACTATAAAAACGATTTTATTAAATAGTATTCTTTTTGATCTTTCTTTTTTATTTCTTTTCTTTCTTGAGCGTTTTTTATTGTATATAATGTTAATGATTGCCAACCGCTTCGCTCTTGTGATTGTAGATTTTTTCAGTCCCTGTATGGACTATCCTGTATATCCCTCGGGAACAGTTTGATAGGGATAACGTAATACTTTACGTTTTTGAGGACATAAACAAACACATATTCGCATACAAATAAGTTGGGATTTTTTGAGTTAAATTATTCTGCTAAAAACACAGTAAAAAAGCTGGACGAAAAACATTTTAATACAAACTTTAAACTATCCTTATACTAACTTTAAACTATCCTGTTTAATAATACATAATTATGTTTACGGGAATTTACGCTAACGTTAGATATAAGCGCAGGGTTCTCTGAACCTTTCGCCGCACGCGACCGGCGGCCGACGGAGCGTCTCTCTAGACGACGCGTATCCAAACGTCGTCGGTCGCGTGCGACGGTTCAGAGAGCCCCGCGCCTTAAGTACTGTTGGTTTGATCAGGTCGAATTGGCCGTGGTCACAGATTGTACCTATCGTGAGCGCGTTAATTCTCGATCCCATAATTATTACACTGACTAATCACAAAATTCACACTAAAATCCAAGTCGGTTACAAAGTTATAAAATATAGATGGTGGACTCACTGTCAATGAGGTGATTGAACCTGCAGTGCTGGAGGCTGAAGGCTTGGCGCAGGGCGGGCTGGAGCTGCGCGCGCTTCCACTCGGCGCCGTAGCGCTTCAGGTAGTCGTACTCCGCCCCGCGCCGCAGCTCCCGCGTTATGGCCGACCCGTTCAGTTCCTAACATACACGTATTATACACAAACTCCACGCAGCTTCTGCGGTTTTAGAAGGAACTACAGTGGCTTTATAAACCAGCAGTATCTAAACATAATGGAATAGAGTCTGCAGTAATACCGGTACATAAACTGTTACCACTATTTGCCTCGCACAACCAATCTGTGGAACAACTTATCGTCTGAGGTATTGCCGGACCGATACGACTTTTAATCCTTTAAGAAAAGAGCGTACTCCTTAAAAGAATTGCAGGCGTTCATATGGGCGGCGGTAGTCACTTTCCATCAGGCGACCCGTCTGCTCGTCTGCCACCTCTTCCATAAAAAAAAAGAATCAAAGTGCTTCAATATCTCCTAGTCCTTAGACAGTTGGGCTATTAAGTTATTTCAAAGAATACCTCGACAGTTACCAACGCGACGTGTATTTTATCATTAATAAACGTCGAAATTTATGTTCCCTTCCAATCATCGCTACACCTCACCACTTTCCCTCATAGTAACCGCTGATACTAAATCGCACAATAGCAATTTTCCAAAGGTTACCTGGTCTGTTTAGAAAATTCTGTGTGTTAGAGTTACATCCACTTTGGCAATGAAGTTAAAACCTAAATTACCTGCAGTGTGTCAATCTTGGCCGAGATGAGTTGTGAGCCGGTGTCATAGTCTTCTGTGTTCTGTATGGGGTTCCTCAAGAAGTACAGTTTCTTCAAACAGTGCAGCTTGTTCAGTTCGCTCAATGATCGCCACTAGGAAGGATATAGCATTTAATAATAACTTCACACATCTTACCACACGCGGCAGTCTAGTTCCAAACTAGCCAGAGCCTGTACTATGTTAACCAATCTGCTGATTAACATACTTATATATTCCTAAATACATACATGATATAGATAAATTACACCCAGACACAGAACAGAAGGATCGTGCTCATCACACTATATTTGTCCTGGGTGGAAATCGAAGCCAGGAACTCCAGCTTAGCAGTTAGCCCGGGAAAAATGAATTCTACATTAATGACAACTAACATTTTAAGAACGGTTGTTTGTTGGTTACAGTTTGAGGCCTTTACTGATCACCTGCTGTTTATGAAAGTTCGTATAACTTTGTCTGCGGGGACATTAAGGGGCATAGGCCTTTATTTATTAGAAAAAAGGTGGTCCTGAGATACTTGAGCTAAACAATTTACTTTTTTCTGGCCTTGCTGAAACTCATTAGCCCAATTCTTTTGATTATAGTACAGTAACCTTCATGCTACCACCCTCAGGAGTGAAACAACGACATCAGGATATGGTACAGCTTAATTATATTCAATACTCACATCATTGATCCTGTTCCTGTTAAGAAACAGCACCTCCAGACTCTCAAACACATCCACCTTCTCATCAGGATTATCGTTGAACCTGATCTCGGATATAAGACAGTCGTTCAGACTCAATATCTTCAAGTTCTTGAGCATCCCAAGGTTCATTATTTCATACCATGACTCTAGCGGGTTCCCGTCTAGCCTGATCGTGGTCAAAGTCCTCAGAGTGACAGAAGGCGGTATTATCGTTTTGATTCTGTTGTAAGCAGCTATGAGTTCGTTTATTTTGGGAAATAAGTGAGAGAGAGACAGAATGTCAGCCCACTCGTAATCGCAGACTGAAATGTTGAGTTTCTCCAGGGAAGCGAAGTTGATAGACAGTTGGGTGAGGGTTTCTTCTGGCATGTCGATAGCCATGCGATTTTTGCTGGGGAATAAAGATATATGTTACTACTGAAGATTTAGGAGATATAGTACAGAATACTGTCCAGGGGCTCTTGCCATGAAGAATGGTGTGACAATGTTATAAAGAGCGCTGAGCTCAAATTATATTGGGTAACCGCCCGCCTAGTAAACTACTTTCATAAAACGTTTTATTATTAGCTTCACTTGTAACTAACATACTGACGAAGTCAATTTTGATTGTCTGCAAATTGATGTATCAAAACGAACGAACTTAGTATGTTAAGATAGCAAATACTGTAATTTGAAATCTTGGAGCTGAACTAGTAATGGATACGAGTCGCGGACTTATATGACTCGTTTAGATCAGCCTAACAGAATTGGACTCGCTAACGATGGTCTGATGACGGAGCCAGGAGTTCGATAGTGGAAATCGTCATATAATTTTATTTTGGTTTATTTTGCGTTTTCTGCTAAACACCATGTCCACTTACCTTACATCCAGTTCCCTCAGGTCAGGCAGTTGAGCAGACAGCTGGATCACTTCGCGCCAGTTGTAGAACAGGTTACGGGACACATCCAAACTCCTAACATTAGGACACAAGCCAGCTACATCCCCAGCCTTGGCTATATTCTGGTCGTGCACGCACACTTCTAGCAGGCGATCGAACTTTCTGGAAAACGGAGAAAAAATGGTTTTACAGTCAGATCTTCATTAAGACTAACCAGATTAATATTCATTCTTTTAAACATCTTACACGAACTTCTGATCCCAAACTAGGCAGAGCTTGTACCATGTAACCAGACTACTGATAAACGTACTTATATATTCCTAAATATGTACAAATCATAGATAAATGACACCAAAACAGAACAGATGATCCTGTTGTTCAAACAAATCTATATCCTGGGCGGACTTCGAAGTTGTGGCAAATATCATGTGGCTATGCTGTCTAGGGAGTCTCGAGGCGTTTTGGCAGAACACATTTCCGTCTCCTCGGTTTTGGATTTTGTATGTGATGTTCTCTATGCAGCCATGCCATTATTATGTGGCTCTGGCTGGTCAGAATATCTACTACTACCTATATCAACTAGTCAAATGTTTTAGAAAAATATACATTGCTTTCAAATTACTTAAAATTTTCGGACCTAATCCCTAAATGTCCTTCCCACGTATTACATAAGTGGGACTAAAATGAACAGCAAAATATGAGCGCTTAATACGCCTCTATCTACTCCTTAGGAAGATTATAAGCGTGAGTCAAGGTAGTTAAGTTTATTCCATATAATATACTAGCTACTTCCCGCAGCTCCACCCGCGTGTGTGTCAGTTATCGCGGTAAATAGTCCTTCCTCAAGAATTAAACTATCTCCATACCAAATTACATCTAAATCGGTTCAGCGGTTATTAATTCCCCATACAAACTTCAATCCCTCTGTTTACCCCCTTAAAGGATGATTCCTAGGGTAAAAACTATTCTGTGTCCTTGCCCGGGACTCAAACTATCTCTATACTAAATTTCATCTCAATCGATTCAGCGGTTTGAGCGTGAAATTATAACAGACAGACGGACAAACACACTTTCGCATTAATATTAGTAAGGATTGTTTATCAATGATAGCCTATAATATACCTAACTGTATATGAAAGCGATGATATTTGTGTTATTGTATTGTACAGAAGCAATAAAGGTCAATATCCTTTGTATACTCAAAGTACTTGATAAAAAGTTGGTAACAATATCGTTTAAGTACCTAAGGAATGATTGTAAAATGGTGTCAACTACACTTTATTGTGGGGGCTTTACATTATCTGTTATTGCAGTTTTTACCCGACGACGACGCGAAGGAGTGGCTTTCGAGTGTATGTATATATTTGTCTCTTTTTAAAAGACAACTTTCGCATTAGGAATATATATCCTGTGTCACGGGAAACTTTACAAACATACATGAAACGAACACAAAGAACACCCATACTCAGAACAACAATTTGTACACAAAGTGGGGTTCGAGCCCACAACCACTACGCCATCTGTGCAGTCAAGCTTTGTGGTCAAACGGCTTGCTGGATTTTGTCATTTGAGGTTTAGATTCGTTTTACTTGTGAGAATGACACTGGGTATGTAAAAATTATAAAAACTAGAATCGCCGGTTTGTAAATGTTTGGAATATATACATTTTGTTGATTTCTTTTAACACGCTTTTATTAGCTTGGTATGTATGTATGTAACGGTAACTCCAAACGTTATTTTGACCCATTTCAAAAGTCGAAATAAATTGGAACCTTACATACTTATCAAGGACCGATGACAATACAATAATTTGATAAATATGGCCGATTATCCTGATCAGGATCTTTAGGCTCACTGACGGGTTTTTGCATATCTAAACCATAAAATATTTATTTATACCTCCTGCAAATACATTGCATAAGGTGGACTTAATGCCATAGGCATTGGTGCTAATTCTGTTGTTGACATCACTAAACTAAAATTTCTCTAAAATTCTCTTATTTTAGTCAAGCGATGTTCAAAATGCTATTCTGTTGTTAGGTCGAACTAAATTTGGTGTTCATTTTGACAGCATTAAATTTGAATCTGACATCACTAAAAATTAAAATGGAAATGTTACCTTTGTTTAAAAATTAGGAATGAATGATATAGAGAAAGATTTAGAGTGAATTCATAAATCTTTTGAAACGATATTTTTAGGATTTTAGAATGCCTGTAAATGATTATTAATGCATATTATAGATCAAATAGTAAACAAAATGTTGTATTTTACAGTTATAACGAAGTAAATACAGTTTTACTTAGTTCACATAACTGGCAACCCGTGGTAAACCTTATTTGTTACCTATGTACGAAAGTTATGATTTCTGAATCTGTGCAGGTCAATTTGACATGACAGTATAGTTTTATTGTAATTAGAATATATTTTTTTATTATATATATTTTATTTAATAGTAATGGACGATAGGAAAAAGAGGGCCAACAAGAGGCAGCAGGAGCTGCTGGTTGAGCGCCTCCATAACAACCTAGAAGTGGCGAGACGTGAGAATTATTCAGTGTTTCAGTTTCTAAGGAATATCATTTTTACTATGTTAATTTTAACTGTATTTTCATCACATTAATTTTGTTTTTTTAGGCAATCATTCAGATCCAAGTACCATGGAATTTGAGACCAATTTATTGACCAAAGAATTTGCATAGAAAGCACCTCTCACCCTTACAAACTACTAATTTTAGCATTCTGCTAACAGGTTTTGTGCTGGGAAATGTATACCATAGCAACTTATTATTTATTTATATCGTCTTTACTTATGCCTGTTTAATTATTTTTGTTTAGGTTTACCGGTACCCGGCCCAATTCGTCGTCGGATTGTGCCAAGACGCCGCATTACGCCTAGGCCTTCACGTCCCCCTGCCTACGACAACCTGTTACGTTCTTTGCAAGAAAGCAGTAACAGTTTACAAGAAACCATTAGACATAGTGCTGAAGTGATTGCTGCTGCTTTGAGAGGCAGCAGTGCTTCTACATTGCGTGCTGCTGAGATCTTAGCATCAGCAATTACTTCAACACATAATTCAAGTCATAGCAACAACATTAACCAATAGTAAAGTATCAACTTTTATTATTGGTTTATGTTATTGCTATGGTTGTATTTTTCGTAAACTGCTACTACTTCCTGCAAGAATAGCTCGTTTGATAACTTTGTCTAATCCATTTTATTTTATTTGTCCCTTTGTTTTTATTTTGTTGATTTTTTTACATGTTATTTTAAATTATTATTTGTTTAAGTGATTTTTATGATGATTGTTGATTATATAAATAATAAAAAACAGAGCTTTAATTAAACAATATATTAAAACTAATAATTAAAATGAGTTTGTATTAATTCTTCCCGAATCTGTCTTGCCTCTATCAAAAAATCTTGGTTTTCTTCCTCAACCACAATATTTACATCTTGTATTTCCACATCATAATGATTATCATCTGGAAATGAAGAACAGAACAGTAAAATGTGTTAAGTACAGACATGTATATATATGTGTGTATATGTTATAATTAAATATATTATATACTGCCAACAAATAAATAAAACAATCAATAAATGAGTACAAACTTATTACCTAAAAGCCATTGGTTTCTCTCTCCAGACAAAAAATTACTTTTTAAAAAATGATTTATAGTTGATGCTCTCCAGATAGCAGCATCATGTGTTGAGCCAGGAAAATTTGGATTGAGCCCAATAATTTTCCCTTTTGCACTACACACCTAAAAGACAATTAGTATTTAAAATCTAAACAAAATAATATAAGTAAATTAATGTTAAATATGCAAAAACCTAACTCAAATTAAAACTCTTTGTCCTGATTCATATACATTTGTATGGGTTTTTTTTTAATCTAAAATGACTAAATTAAATAGATGAAATTAATGTTGTTATATAATCTTTGCATTAGAAAATAATATACATTTTGTGAATGCTGTTGGAAGTTATAAAGAGTATGTATGTATATTTAGTATAATAATAGAGTATGGATGGAGTATGATACTCACAATCTGACAGTTAATACTGTAGAATCCTTTTCTATTATAGAAAAGATTTCCAGGTGCAGTAGGGTGATTTATAGATGGCTTTGCTATTGAAATATGTGTCCCATCTACTGCACCTAAGGTGTTAGGCATATTAAACAGCTCTTGAAATCTGAAAAGGTGAACACTATAAGTATTTCATAGATCTTATGATACTTAAGATGTAGAAATTGATGATTATCACCAAAACAATAATATATGGCTGTTAACTTATTCTGTCATTGCAATCAGTTTTTCACTCTCAGCCATGGGAAATTTTATACAATTAGGTAAAAGCTTCTCCACTATTAAATCTGCTGTTATTTTAATGCACCTGCTAACAGAAGGTTGGCTAAGTGCAATGAAATTGTCTTGCCCTACAGCAGCTTGGTAACTCCCTTGAGCAAAAAATTGAAGTGCAGATAAAACCTGAAAAATGAGTTCAATATGAAGAGTAGGTACAAGATAGAAACAGTGGATTTATATTGTGCTCAATGTAATAAAGCAGACCTTTAGGTGTTTAGATATGAAGCCTTCATCCAGGCGTTGATCATCGAGATCGCTGACTAATTGAAAAGCAGCAGATCTAGGAAGCCTGAATAGTTTCTGAAATTTTTCCTCTGCCAACTCAAACGGATTGGAGTTATCTCGCATACGTTCTAAGCGTATTCGTTCTTGATAGTTTCTAAAAATAATACATAAGTATGTTTGTTTTAATAATTCAGATAAGGCTCATAATTATTTGTGATTTATGATGAATAATATTATGCACATACCTTTCTGCTGAACTGACCAAAACCATAATCACGTAATCACTTATCATTTTAAAAAAATAATTCGCTAAAATTTTAAATTTTATACTTAAAAACTCTAATTATTAGGTTAGTCGGGATGTATTTAGCTAGCGTCTAATTTTAGTGTGACGTTTTTAATTTTAGTAAATTTTTGACGTTTAGAAAGTACAACAGAATAACAAATGAGCAAAAAAGGACTAAGTTGAGTAACTTAACTAATTTTGGTTGTGTCAAACTAAATATAGTTAAGTTCTACGTTGTCAGAATACGAAACGTTGTTTGACAGGACTAAACTAATTTTTAGTGATTTTTAGTTTAGTTTAGAGAGTTTACGAACAACAGAATTAGCACCACTTTCTTCCAGTCAACCTTGAGGTGATGCAGAGATTTGTGTGTGGCAGGTATGTATATGAAATATGGTGGTGTGTTTTGGCTACGTACTAAGAGGCGTCTGCTGAAGCATATGTAACTTACTTGTTACTTTTTTAGTCTTAATGAGAAAATAATCATCATTAATGACTAAAAAAGGCAAAAATAAATTATAGTTTAAAACAATTAACTTAGTTTTGACATTATGAATTGATTTGCATGTCAAAATTGCTTTTTATTCAGTTGTAATGTAGTTATCTTCATTTATTTTCAACTACTACCAGCTACCATGCACCAGCACTCCTCACTCTCACGTAATGTCCTGTAGCGCGATCTCGCTCACACCACTCCGTTAAAACAAGACCCATACATACTAAAAGATATGGAGTCGTCATTACTGTTTTGAAATATTAATATAACATCATTTTTGAATCGTAAGAAATTTAATAACTGTATTGTATAGGTTTTGGTGACATGGGATTAGGGGAAACACGTGATAACGATCGCATTGCCCAGCAAGTGTATGCAATTCCGGTGTCATTTAGAGAGAGCTGTTAATGTGGCGTACTTTTTCATCACAGGGTTAAAAGCTGAAATGGAGATGAAAATAATCAATTTAGATCTTGCAAAATATCATTCAGTAAGAGTAGTTTTATTGACATTCGATGGATTGGAAGGAAAACTTATCTTCTCACAATGAAATTATTAGGATGTTAAGTGAATGATTTTAGCAATTCTAATTTTTCTGACGACCGGTTAGCGTAGTGGTTTGTGTAACGGACTGCTATTCCAAAGGTCGCGGGTTCGATTCCCACTGAAGCTGAACATTTGTGTGCATGAACATTTATTGTTTGGTTTGGTCTGGGTGTTTCTATGTATAATAAGTATGTATTTACAAAAAAAAAGTATATATGTATTTATATCAGTTGTTTTAGTACCCATAGTACAAGCTCTGCTTAGTTTGGGACTAGACGGCGTTGTGTGAATGAGGTACAATATTATTCTATTATTATCATTTATAATTTAAAAACTTATTTCAGACATCCGATCTTGGAACATAATGTACTTAATGGTAGCAATACACTTGAATATATTTTTCTACCGATAACTAGAACAAAATTATTAGGTGGCAGTTACTCTGTAAGATGAATAATTTGCCACAACCCTTCGGGTACGGAACTCAAATATTCAGTATTAAGAAAAATATTTACATACATGTCGACTCCACAAGCTTCCTATAACAACGCATGGAATACGTACTAAAAACACTAGGTACGTGCCGCGTTGAATCGTCAAGTTCGTTTGAAATTCGACCTTACATCGCTGTCACAGCGTCTAATTTTGTACTAAGTTAGTTTGAAGTTCGGCGCTGTAGCAGCGCTGTACGCAAGGCTGTTTCCTTAGAGAACAATCTGCACATTGACATTTTTTGAGCAATTATTACGAGATCTTTCTACGTGAACATTCATTGTATAAACTAGTTAATTTTCTGGATAGCATTACAAAAAAATACAATTTGTATAAGTATAAATACATTCGAATGACACGAATTGGCGCGGTTTTTGTATAAGAGTATGCATCTACTCCTATAGTTTATTTGATCGAAGGTAATATTGGTAAAATCCGACAAATCCTTTCGAGTCCGTCCTGCCGCCTCTCTCCAAGGGAGGATGATATTTATCATCGAACAAGTTACCAAAATGAAAATAAACAAAAATAACTGTAGACATTACTAGACATTGATAAAATAATATAAAACAACGCACTGTTTCTGATGTATCTTGTCAAAACCGACCATTTCAATGAAAGGGGCACCCATCTCTCTTTTCCACTCATTGATGACAGTCCTGCGATGAGCCGCCACTGTTTCGTCCTGAAAACATAACATTAGGAATATTAACCATATTTGTAATAAAGTTGATTCCTAGGTTTAAAGTTAATTTGTTAACCTAAAACCGCATCTATTGCAACATCAATAAATATTTCCGGACATCTGACACACAACGCCATCTAGTTTCAAACTAAGCAGAGCTTGTCCTATGATTGACTGATAGAATACTTATATACTTTTTTTTTATTATACATAAAAAAACAAACAAAATTCGAAACAAATCTTTGCTGATCACACAAAGATTTGGTCCGATCCGGGAATCAAACTAGAGACATCAGCACAGCAGTTGCACACGCTACCACTGCACCACTGAGGCAGTCAGTGTGTCAGTGTGGTAAGGAGTTAAGAATATGGAGTGTATTCATCCCGTGGGTGTCGTAAGAGCCGACTAAGGGAGCAAACTACGCAGGACAACAGTACAGAAAAGAGAAGGCAAACTTGACACACTCTATACTGAGCCGTGTGGCCAGCGTGGTATAGTAGGTTAAAACCTCCTTTCTAAGGAGAGGCCTATGTACAGCAGTGGACTATTAAAGGCTGTTGATGATGGACATGCATACCTGCAACCCAAGAGATACAAGTTCCTCTTGCAAACCCCTTTCACTCTATCTCATATGTCCTAAAGCACAGCTCTGCACAGATTCATATAATTATTGTATTAAACTGAATTCTACACTATAATTGTAATTCTAACATTTGTAACTTAGCTGGTGATGAATTTCAGTAGTAAGTGTAATTTTTCAAAATATTTATAATTTATTTCAATAAAAGATACATAAACTTTATATTGGCATTCTTAAAGTTGTCTAAAATGGTTTTACCATCATCTTAGTCCCATGTGTGTTAATACAAAATTATACTTGTGTATTAATACATACAAAATTAACAAAAATTTTAATATAGTACACCGGTACTGTATTTAAATGTTTGTTAATTTTGTTCTACAATACTGTACTTATTACATAGTACTGCCTTCTTGGGAATGTCGTGTTGTGAAAGATGTCATGACAGACTGATTTTTGTTTATGTCTTGTATCGTCCGGTGGAGGAACTGATATGTGTTTCCTTAGTATTCCTCAAGCACTAAAATCTGGCAAACTCTGAGTACTTGACTGTCTAGGTAATTGGTTGGGTATCTAAAATGTTTCCTGGTTGTAACCTTAAGGATAGCCTTATGTGTTCGCTCTAGTGGAAGTAGCAGAGTTTTAGCAGCACCTCCCTAAATTGAGATGTAGTACTGGTTCAGAGATTGACATAGCGCGAGGTATATTTTTTTTCACCAGAACTTCAATGATACAGATTCTCGAAGACATTTAAAGATACGGATCATGCTCTATAATCTTGTTTTAAATTTATTTATGTGTTTGTCCCATTTGGTTTATCATCTTTTTTTGCACTTCGAGGTACCTCACAGTGGTCACGGGACTTATTTTTATAATTGCATCCTGTTCTGTTATTACAGTTGTGTGCAGTGATACTGTAGTTTTCTGGCAGTCCACCGATGTTTCTAATCGTAAAAGTCATGTAATTTCCAGGTTTAGTGTAAGACCTCCCCGAGGCAATGCTTTAACAATGTCCCACGAAGGAGAATGTACCACAATGGCTGTTTCATCATAACAGGTATTTATTCTCGCATTAGGGATTCTCATTGTACAGAGCTCATTTATGTAGATTTTAAACAAGGTTGGGCCTAAAACACTTCCCTAGGGAACACCATCAAGTTATTGATTGCTCGTCACTAAGATATGAGTCTATTTCAACTTGCTGTGTTCAATTTTTTAGTTAGTTAGTTATTGAAATGAAATTATACTTTAATTGGAAATAGAAATAAATATTGTAACGGTGCATTTCGCACCATTACAGTAATTTGAACCTTAGTCTCGTTTTTGTTTTGTTAGGTTGAATTTTTTGTCGTTTCTGCGTGTGCCGATGGTCGAGGGACGGACGAGAGTAATAATCGATGTTGTTCGCCCGCGATTAGTTAGTCGATTTAGTTTTTCTTGTCCTGGCAACATTTTTTTTTCCCGCTCTAAGGAGCGACAAGCTTTTGCTCTGGCAACACGTCAGTTCACTTTTGGACCGGCCGCCGAGTGAAATGAAGCGAAGCAAGTTTTGTCATGTAATTTTTTGAGTAATCTTATTTATTTTGTTATAGACGAGGGCCTATTTCCTCTTTAAATGTTCGGCCAACCTAGTTAGGACTCGAGCTATTGGTTCGAGTGATTATTTTTGTTGAAAAGGTAAGTTTTGTTCGGCCACGTGCTTCACGCTTGGCTTGGCGGAATTTGTGGTTTTAACTCTTTGTTTAATTGGTTACAGGCAATGCTTATAATGCTTATAATGCCGCTGCTTGATTTGTGAAACATTTTAGGACCCTGGTAAGTGAAATATGATTTCTTGTCAGAGTTATGATTCATCTTATGAGATAGGCTTTTAACCTATAATTTTTCCTTATTTGCAGATGAATCAGGGTTTTTGGTTTATATCTAAGTTTTAATTATACTCTATATTCCTTTTATACCTAAATTTCTTTACATTCTTATTGGAATGTCATTGCGTGGCATTCGGATTTTTGTCTCTCGCCGGAGTTTGACCCCAAGAAATTAGATTGCTGTGGAGCACCGGATTGGTAGAAAAAGCTGCTTAGCTGCACGCCATTGTCTGGAGCCGGGGAGTGCTAACCCGCCTCTTACACCACGTGGGAGCCGGAGTGAGAAGTTTCGGAGTTGGTTTGATTTCATTTCATTCGGACTGATCCAAGGTCATCGGTATGTGTTTTGATATATTTTTCTTGGCGACGTGGCATTGAATACTGCAGGTCCCCAAGGGCTGTTATTTTTATTAGAGAGTAGGTCAATGCTATGTCTACCCTTAGAGTTTATTGTTTTGTCTATTAAGTCTTTATGCGACTTTGTTTAAAAACCTATACAGGTCCCCAAAGGGGTTAATTTTAATTAAGGGAGTAGGGCGTTGCTACAACTACCCTTATACTCTTTTCTTTTTGGGTCTTCATGTGACTCTTTAAAACTTCTTTAACCTTATATTTTTCTTATTGGAAACGATTGCATTAATGACAGTACTAATTTGTGTATAAGAATTACCTATTGTAATTAGAGACATAAGACACATTGTACTCTACAGACACTACGGGATAATAAACTGCCATTAGAACTTAACATCTTGTATTCATTAGCTGCCTCCCGCCTTGTTTTAAAAAGGTTCAATGTTGGCTGAGATGTCCGAGGTATTTGTTGTGTTTGTGGTGGGTTCTGTGTTCTTTTAAGGTGGTATCTGGCGCCCGAGACTTTTATTTTGTTATTTTGTTTCTATTCGATGCCACCAATTTAGTTTAATTTTCTAGTTTTATTCTTTTTATAACAAACCCCACAATATAAATATAAATTATAATTTTTTAATTTTTTATTATTACAATATGGTACATAGGTTGTTTATAACTATCATAAGGGAATCACATATTTTGACAGTCTGTTCTGACATGCAAAATTTTAAACGTACATGCATATTATCACAACAGATTGATTTAATAACAAACTACTTAGCTCATGTCAATTATCAATTTAAATAATAAATAATGTCAAATATATAATTGCAATGTCAAATTTTTCATTCCAATAATTTATTTTCAATATAGGCCTCTCCTTAGAAAGGATGCCTATGTCCAGCAGTGGACTATTAAAGGCTGTTGATGATTTTCAGTATAGAATCCAACATACATCATCATCATCAGCCTATCACAGTCCACTGCTAGACATAGGCCTCTCCTATTGCACGCTACTTCGATTGATTGTCAGCTATCTTAGGCAAATCATCACTCCACCTGGCCTGGTGGCGTCCTATACCGTATGTATACGTTTACCGAGACGCGGTCTCCTATCAAGAACTCGTTTACCCTAACGGTTGTCGGTCCTGTGGCATATGGCCAGCCCATTGCCACTTCAGCTTGCTGATCCGGTAGGCTATGTCTATGACCTTGGTTTTCTGCCAGATCACGTCATTGCTGATGCGATCCTTTAAAGAAACACCGACCATGACCCTTTTGCATAGCACGCCGAGGGACTTTGAACTTGTGGACCAGCCGTACCGTAAGTCTCCTCTTCTCCAACATACAATAAAATATTATCAGGTATTTTAGTAATTATCGCTCGCTCCCTTTAGTAATTTTCCTAAAAGTCATATTTTCAAAATTTCCTTTTAAATTTCAGGTGGGGCAATGTCTTTATGGTTGGTGACATTTCACCTCCCCAAGTGTAGCATGTTACATGGGGTTACTTTTAACAAATACACTTACTTCAAAGATTTACATACAGGGCAATGGTGATACTTCATATGTTCTAAAATAAGGTTTGCAAGATTCATAAGGAGGAATGCCTACCATAGCCTGAACACACCTCTTCTGCGATAAAAATGCCCGAGTAGCATCCACTGAGTTTCATAGTTCGTATCTCAATACAGAACCTATGTGACCATGTTAGGCGAGAAGTACTGTTTCTTGAATAGTGGTTAGAATGAAAAAAAAAAACCCAATTCAGCTTTGTGTCAAATGAAAGCAAGAGGCTGGTTTTCAATTGGGCCATAATGATGCTATGCGTAAAACCAGTTGTAGACCCTAATTGCTAAGCCGTGTACATAGGGTTAATAACATGTAGCAATAATATATAACAAGATAAAACAACAGATATACAGATACATATAAAATTATTTTGCTAGCTATTTGATGAAATAGAGATTGGTGCTAATATGCGTGTTGAACTATGACTTTAGAGTCTGTCTTAAAATTTTAAGAAATAAATAAGCTGGTGGACAGTTAAATTAGGCCATCTACCCAACATGTAGACGTGACGGTTTCAAAATGTATTTTTCTCTATTTTCAACACTGTCTACCCCTTCAGCGATAGACACTAATGTATGTTTATACATATTAAAAAGTGAAGTGATTAACCATTCACAGCAACATTTGAACATTAATTTTCTACTGTTTATGTGAAAAAGTCTTGTACTGCAATATTGTATCTTTTTATAGCAGAGCAGTAAGACTGATTAGAATAATGACACTTATTATGTGCAAAAAGGGTCAATACATTGAAGTGTTTAATGTTCAAATCCTTCTTTGTTTAACAAATCTTTAATAAACATACACAATTTGTCATGTCTGGTAATGAACATTTGATGTTTGATTTGGTCTGGGTGTTTCTATGTATAATGTGTATGTATTTACAAAAAAAAGTATATTATGTATTTATATCAGTTGTCTAGTACCCATAGTACAAGCTCTGCTTAGTTTGGGACTAGATGGCGTTGTGTGTATGTGGTAGAATATTATATTATATTATTATTATTATATTATTTTTATATATATGTTTTGAACAGTTTGCAAGTATAATGCAGATGTTTTCTTTTTATTGTTACTATTCCCTCTACAGTAGTGCCACCAATTTAAACCTCATTATTAGACTTTTCAATTACAGAGATGTTATGTTTTAGAGTATATGACCCAACATAGTTCTTTTTATAAGTAGATTATTTTAAGAAATACCAATGACACTTTGTTCACAATGCAATATATCTATACTATGTATGTATGTGTATTTATAAGTATGTATTTGTTACAATAATAACAATTTGACCATATTTGGGTCAGAGCAAATCATATGAACTAGACACAAGGGCCTTGAAACACACAAACAAAGTCAAAATAAGAATAACAACACCCACTCAACAACACTAGAGGTTGAGTAGGTGGTGTGACCTTTCACCTTAGTCACTATAGCTGTAAAAAATGTATTTTAAAAAGTTTAATAAAAAACTCACCTCTCTGTCTCCGTAATATTTCCGAATAGCGTCAGAACAAGTCCGCAACGGACTTATTTTGTTCGGACGAATGAAAGAACCTGCAGCGGGTTTTGATGCTTTAAAGTACTGAACATCATCCAAAGATCCATCATGCTTGCCCCTGGTGGGATTGTCCCATTCCACGCCGTACCAAACACCTTTATATCCGTGCACTTCACCAATATATTTCACTGTACCGAACTCATCGTTACACTTAACGCGACTACCGATGTGAATTTGTATTTCGATTTCGTCAGTACCATTGTGACTGTCCATGGTACCGTTGCAAAATTTTGGTATTAAGTTAACAGGCATTGCGCCCACCATTATTTTTGTGTTTTCGAAAAAGGAACTGTTTATCAAAAGAAAAACAGGCTGACTTCTTTTCCCGAAAACTGTTGTCATTCGCTGTCAAACAGGCTAATATTTACTAATAGAGAAGAGCGTCGAGCACATTTAAAAATCGGTTAATTGTTTTAGTCGATTAATTTTTTCTTCTTGTTTGATTTAGATTTCGAAACCAAATATTAATTTTATATTTTAGGATACAAGTGAAACTAAAGAGTAATTAAAATAAGTAAACAGGATTTACAAATAATTAATATTTCTATGTGAACCTACACTCAAGATATTAAAACATTACTTAATAGTTTCGCTATTACTCAGAAGATGGAAGCACGTGTATAGTTTTAAAACAATAGTCTAAAATACGATTGGCAGTCGACAGGAGTAGTACATTACCCGCCCAAGTATGGTAGAAACACTTTATAAGGACGAAAAATGTAAATTTGCGTTTCGAATCATAATGTAAGCTTCAAAGCTGCCACTCGGACTGTCAGTGCATTCGAATTATCTTTCGATGTGGAAGCTTTAACGGAGTGAAGTTATTACACTCGAAGTGCGAATTCGACATCATTGTACTAAGATTTGCGAGGGCCCGGTTCAATGTTCCAATTATTTTCATTCGTTGTCTCGGCGCGGCGCTAGCGTCATCTCGCTCATAATTTTCCGAAATCGGGAATCGGGACGTAAAAAGTGTTTTTTGACAAAAATGGCTTCCATAAGTGTCCCAGCCGTAAACTCCAGCCTATTTTAAGGAAATGTCTGTCTGTGTTAGTGGAAATATGCAGTTTTTAAGTGAACAATTGTTTCGTGCTGTGCAGTAGTGCATACGGATTGGTCACGACAAAGGATAAGAGCGTCAAAATGAGGTATGTATATCGAGTTCATCGCACCAGAGCTTTCGTTAGCAAAACAAATAAATAATTACAAAAGATCATCTTGCACGCATCGATCTATTTACGTCCATAAAGTATTTAGTGTTAACCGGCCTTCCTTTTTGTTCTCTTGGTGTTTTTTTTTTCTTTAAAAAACGTAAACATAGAACGTGCGTGCGTTAGTTATGGTTCATCGATTGGTTGATTACGATCGTAATTACACACGTTTATGAATGACATTGTAATTAAATGCTGTAAAAAACTGTGAATTAACCATTCTTCGTTGCATACAAGAAAGATTGAAACGTTTCCGATACATATTGATTTTTTCTAAGCATTTTGAAGGGTTGCTCCCACACGATGTTATACTAGAAACACTTTCGTTTTGGCTATTGCAATAGCGATTTAGTAATGACCTTGCGCAAGTAGAGAGGTAATTTGTTAATATAGGGCTCAGTTTATACGGAGGGTATATCCAGACGCGTTACGTTTCCCCGAATTGGGGTGGCTGGACCCCCAGGAAGGGTGTCTCCTTCGCATATGACTAATAATACACACCCTCGCGGTATTTCGCCTCAAAGGTGTGTGATATTTTAATAACGAAATACGTTTTCATCATCATTATGTACCTATCATTGATAAAGAGGTGATAAATACTGTAATCACAGCATTATTTGAGATAAAAGATAAAATACTTAAAATAGTGATAGGTTTATTGAATCATAATACTTTAATTTGATTTTGTAGTCACAATAAAAACCCTACAATGTTTATTAATGGGACATTCATTCGATTTTATTAATTTAAACACTTGAATGAAAGAAAAGTTGTGATGTATTTTTATTAATATTTTTTAAAGTTATGATGCATGTCTAAATAAGAGTATATTCTATATGGAGGCAAGAATAATGCTTTGCTTTTATTATTTTCAGTAAAATGAATTAAAATTTTCACCATATTTTTATTTTTTTTTAATCTATAAATGATTGGTAAATAAAAATATTATAGGTATATAGCAATAAATTTCCTATATGGTTAACTATATATAATTAAAATAAAATGTATTTATAGTGAAATTAACAAGTAATATCAACCCACAATGAGAAATGGAAAGTGAAAATGTTTACCCTGTTAGATCACCGCTATAATTATAACAAGTTAATTGCAATAGCAAACTATTGTAATTATTAATAACACATAATTTTCCCATCTAATCCTAAAAGTGCCTGGTTTTCAGAAATATGCTTATTCCCTATATGGGACTAAAAAAAGAAAATGTGTGTTTTTTATGTCTCTGCCTACTTCTTTTGGCATATATAAGTGAGTGTATGCATGTATTACTAAATGGAAAATATATTAATATTAATGATATAAGTAACTCAAATAATTTTATAGAACGTTCTATACACAAGTTTTACACAAGTTGCATACACAACCTTGGCTTGAATATTTTAATCTATTTTAATACTGAAAAGTAGTCTATGACATACAAAATTCCAGTTAAAATTATGCAATTTTTTTTAATGAGTCATTCTTTACTTAGTATGGTGAGTAATCTAATTTTTTAATGTACCATGATGTTGTCTGTCAGGTTTCTTTTTTCAAATTGTAAATTAGAATATTAAAACATGACTGATGAAAACATAAACAATGTTCCATGATCAACATTATTTATGCAATTTAATTATGAAAAAAAAATACTTTAATAAATTTACTTTGGAAACCAGAATTTAGATTTTTTTTTCAACATTTTGAATTTATCACTATATTATTTGAGATGACTATATGTATATTTGCTCAACTTAGCCAACATTAGGACAGCCAATACCTACTTTATAATGTCTCATCATCAATCATCTTGACTTTTTAACTTCAAAAAGGAGGTTTATGTATGTTCGAGCTGTTGTTATTCCGAAATGGTCCCATTTAAATTTCATATAGTGTCATAATTTGATGATAAGTTTCGGAGACGGACAACAGAACTCCTAAAAAAATTACAGCAAATCAACTGCGATTGCTGGTTAGGTAGGCTACGTTTTTAGTGCTCTTTGTTAGTATTGTTTGAAGTTCAACTTTTTTTTTAAAAGGGATTTATACCAAACTTCTTTCTCGTTGGGAATTCTTATAAACCTCTTTATGATCAGATTACTAATGTTTAGCCACTTTTAAGCCATATAATCTTTGACACGGTTCATAATCCATCTTTTCATCGCTTGTTATCTACTCTTTAATTTATCCACTATTATACTCTATCACTCCTATTGCCCATCAATGAATGAATGAGTGGCTTCTTAGCTACAGAGAGTTACCTGGATGAAGCCTTATTTAGAACAAGTTTTGAATAAATCCTTATCAACATAAAATCCTCTCCTTGAAAGAATTTTCAAAACAAACATGTCATATGTATGTGCAATGTTATGCAACTTAGATTAGGTACAAAATCTAAGTGATACTATTATTTGTTTGTGTATTACAAAAAAATTCTTACCTTGTGGTAGATTATTTTATTTAGATTGAGACTAGGTGACCTGGCAAATTATTTCTAGGAAATACTGAAAAAAAAATTTAGGGTTGGGTCACCCTTGTCATTTAGGGGTATAAAAATAAATGTTGGCTGATTCTCAGAACAGTGCACACAAAATTTCATAAAAATCGGTCCAGCCCTTTCGGAGGAGTATGGTAACTAACATTGTAACATGAGAATTTTATATATAAGATTACATTTTGCTTTTGCCCTGTTCTTTACGAAGATTGATAGGCTGTTTCACATCACATATCCTTCTTACTAATCTTTAAAAACTGATCATTAATTATAAACGAGAGACCAACTGCTAAGAACCGTTAATTCATGTAAAAACACAAAAAAATAAAAATTCACAAAGGCTTGCATTATCTGGTTATGGACATTCCGCACCAGATATGGCTGGACATATAAGTCTTTAATTATTGCAAACAATTCAACATATTGGCTGATCTCATCTGTCATATATGTCCATTGGAGGAACAGGTTTTTTTTTTTTCAAGGTAAATTACAATTAATATATTCATTTGGTGTTGTTAATTATGTATGTTGAAAGAATATGTCATTTAATTTTTTATGCAATCAAATGGACAAACAAGTTTACAGTAATGATGATAATTATCAGCCCTTTTAGTCATAAATCTACATCCATAAGTACTAAGATTATAATTATTTCACATCATACACATCCACAGCCTTTAATAGTCCACTGCTGGACGAAGGCCTCTCCTTAAAAAGGAGGTTTTGGCATGCCATACCACGCTGGCCAGATGGGTTGCTCTAGGCCCTAGAGCAACCCTTCTGGCCAGCGTGGTATAGCACAACTTGACACAAACCCTAGACTCTCTTTGCAATGCTGTTGTCCTGAGTTTGCTCTTTTAGTTGGCTCTTACGACATCCACTGGATCTTCTTAGTCTTCTTATTCCATCACTACATGGACGGACCTAAAATAATGATAACTTTTGACATGTTCTGAACTTGAACAATAGCAACGGGCAACAGCCCGTTACAGGTATGCAACCCTAACCTGTGTCATCTCTTTTCTTCCATTATCTTTCCTTTATTTAGTGACCCTGACTGCTAAGCCGGAGCCGGGTTTGGTTTATACCCAGGACAAATATTGTGTGATGAGTATGATCATTTGTTCTGTGTCTGGGTGTAATTTATCTATCACATGTGTGTATTTAGAAATATATAAGTATGTTTATCAGCAGTCTGGTTACCATAGCACAGGCTCTGCCTAGATTGGGGTCAGACGGCCGCGTGTGAGATGTGTGAAGTTAATATTATTCTTCTACATACCTCTTACCAATACCTCCTCACTACCTTATTAATTAATTACCCACCTACGTTGCGTGGTGGTAGTACATTCTACTGAAACGTCAGAGTAACGCGTTAGATTTCCGATCAGTGCAAATATTTGTACACATGAAAATGCCAATGGCCTTCATGTTTGTTGATGTTTCAATAAATAATAATTTGACACATCTCACATACGGCCGTCTCATCCTATATTAAGCGGAGGCTGAACTATAGGAACCAGTTATATTATACGTCACTACACTGGAGTAAAAGTCTGTGGTGTAAA